TCCAACCCTGTTTGATTCACTCGTACCTATTCCATGAGATATTAGAGCAATCCTAAATGGACCTTCCAACTGCGAGAAGTGACAGTAGATGGATCGATGAAGATGCCAGCTGACGAAGCATCCCAAATACGGAATAACACCATCTGCTGATAGATCCATTGTACGTGGGGTTGCGACCTGTTTCCTAGCAGCCGGTCCATGAGCTGCCAAGCTGACCTATTAGCCATTTCCCTGTAGTTGTAAAATGCCGAAGGTCATTTGTAGACTTAGGGCCGCGAAAAAAAACTGCCACCATGTCTCGACTCTTGATGTGGAAGGTGGCTCCTCCTATCGTGCCAGGGTCACCAGGCAATGTGGTCTTGCAGGCAAATCTCCAAACTCAAGGAATGCACCTAAGTCCACCACCAATTCCGTAATAGAACCGAGTAGGGTCTTTCTGTTCCCTCATGACGTACCCGGTGAGTTGTCTCATCCGAGAATAAATTATTATGCAGGCAAGAGTGTGGTCAAAACTAGCCATATCCTAAGTGGTTCCAGTATTCCAAATGGACTGTGTAATCCACGGCTGCGGTACAGAAAAGACTCGCAAAGGACGTCCAATCAAGGTCCCAAACTGAACTTGTGTGGTGAAATGGTGGTTGATTATTCTGGGGATTGTGAATCCCGGAAATATTCAAAAGGATGGGAACGTAAACCGGGGTTGAGATTTCCATCCAGATATATCATCGTCTAAGAGTGATAAGATGTCCGGATCCATTGGTGATTGGGACCTGTAAAATAAAGAAGATGCCTCACGTGCGGTAGTGAGAGAGTGAAATAATCCGATTACCCATTTGTATGATCCTGTTCCATGCCCGACCTGTCAAAATTCAGATAGGGGTTCCTGGTCTACACGCCACCTATGATATAGGGTATAATATAGTGAGACCCCTAGGTCCCTGTACCCCTGACTGTCCGGGCACATAACTCCCACAGTTGGCCCTAGGTCAAGGGGCCCAGGAATGTGAATTCGAGAACTGAAGTCAAGGCCTCCCTATAGAGGGATACCTATACCTTCTTAGCTTGGAGTCCCACAAACACATGGTGTTCTCTAATACACAGACAAGATGTAAAGTCACGACAGGTGACTCCAGAGAGCAGAAATAATGAAAAAACAAGGGCCTAGCTTCAACCATCCGAAGCAGGTGTTGTCCCGTTTGAGAACGTCGGCAGCCATATGCGAGCCTGCTACACATCCTGAGCAGTACTCCAGCGGTAGGTTGCGTCCCGCCTTGTGACGTCTGTGTAGGAGCCGGGGACACAGGGTTCCTCCATAGAATCCACAGTAGATCTCCTTGATGACAAAACAGAGACTCCTTGATGGTAGTTGAATAGGTGGGTTAGCGAGAACCCAGATCAAGACAGTTCCCGTGAGGGATATTGAGTATAAAAGGAGGGCCCTCCATATCCGAACCCTGTTCTCCAGATATGTGCTCAGAGGAGTAGGGCAGTCCTGTCATCTCATCCCAAGATTGTAATGACCAGAGAGGATTCAGGTCTTTCCATGTGATCCATGCATACGGTTTATCTGCAGACTGGGTTGTGGGCCTTCCCTAGTCTTGTTACCTGAGCAAGGCAGTGCCCGTTTGCTCTATGAAGGTCTCAGGATCTCATGTCACCTTGACATGGGAAAAATTGTCTGCACAGTTTGTTCGCAATGGTCTGAATATCTTAAAAAGAGTGCAATTGCCTGTTTGATATAGCACAGATTATACCAAAACTTGCACTCTTGTAACAACTGGGGCTCATCCGTTAGCTGTACCATCTCCAGGAGTGTGTGTAAATAAGGAGGGAATCTCCCCCAGTAATACCTCTGTGAGTATTTCTCACGTGGGATAGAGTGGTCTGGATCCAGTAGATCCATTATAGGATGTGAAATAGAGGGATCCAGTCTTAACATGTATACCCTGCACGATCAGGCAGCCCTCTATAGCTAAATCAGTAGCACGGTCGTTAGATCTAATTGAATGCAGGAGGGACGTCCCTCTATGCAGTCATCGTTGTCCTGTACAGGTACAAGCCTGTGTGATGAACAAATGGTTGGCACCGTAGTGCATTGAGTGCATGAGAGAGCCGCACTCTTTAATAATGTGACCCAACTCTGTGTCAGCGTCCAGCTAATAGCATGAGCGGGCCGCACCCGTTAATAGCCAAACATTAGAGTCTACATCTGTGTCCGGTTCCCTCTATGCGAATGTGTCACTCAAAACATGTCCTCTGTATCCAGCTCAGTAACGGGCTAAGGTTGAGGGAGGGCTGCGCCCTCTATTACTGAATCAGTGTCCGGTTCAGTCTATGAGAGAGGTTCGCTCTTTACTCGTGAAAATAAAAATATCAGTCTCAGGCCGAGGCGATGGAGGGCCGCACTCTCTTGTAATCCAAACTAGAGTCCATTAGAGACTCAGGGTGACCAACTGCGGGGTACACCATTTACTGATATCAGCATACGACTGAGATCCTGATGTGGGTCTCTCTCTGACCATGAGACCTCTCTCTGAATCTCTCACTTGAGAGATGGAATCAACTGGTAATAAACCATGGTAGATGGAATAGTATACAACCTCTGGCCGTGTCCTTGTTTAATAACAGAAAGCGATGATGAGAAAATGCAACCTTCGGAAACCATGATGGAAACTACCAATGGACCACCCGCGCAAGATCCAGGATGACCGTCAGTAGCCTGGGGAAAGCTGGAGACGTTCTCTGTGATCCTCGAGAGCCCAGGAGGTTGGAGGAGGTCGAGTCAGGCCTCTAGACGACCCAAGCAATAGGACAATAGGAAGGCACGAAAACAAAGAAACGTCAAAAAATGTAGATAAAGGGAAATACGTACCTCAGAGAGAAGGTAAATAGCAGATCGGAAAAGCAAGTCAAGTAAACCCAACTAAAAGGTTAGTTGCTGAAGGCAAGGAAACCGTGCTCCCCTGTTGGCGTCTGAGCACCGGTCCCTGCTTGTGCGAGATTCCCCTTGGAGATGTGCCGCTGCTGGGCTGGTGTAAACCGTGGTTGAGTGCCCGGAAATCTTCATAAAAGCTTTGCCCCTCAGGGCATGAGCTGTAGGGCCTTCATCCTTCCAATCATATTTAGGTGCCCGTATCCTGGTGTCCTCTTGGATAGTATGTCAACAGTGGGTACTTTCCTCAGTGATATTCCCCCAGACCTGTGGCCAAAAGGGGGTTCGGGCACAGGTATGGCAGGCAAGACAGAAGGGCACAGACATAGTAGGCCAATCAAATGGGCAAAGACATAGCCGGCCAATCAATGGGGCACAGACAGAGCAGGACAATCAAGGGGGCACAGACAGAGTAGGCCAATCATAGGGGCACAGACAGAGCAGGCCAATCAAAGGGGCACAGACAGAGCAGGCCAATCAAACACAGACAGAGCAGGACTGGGTTGCGTATTATATGAGTAATGGGGACCCCTGAGTTTGGGCAGAGTCCCCTAAATATCTGTAAATCCTCAGGGTATCCTGTGACCTAGGACATCAACCCTTTTAGACAGCGTAATACTGTGTGAATAAACCTTAACAGGGACTAGCAGTCCCTAAATGCCCAGCAGGCAAAATAGTGGTATTCCAGCTGTATTGGGTATAAGCTGAAGTTGTTCCAGTGCCTATAGTGTCCATAAAATCAAGATATACTGAGCGATACATTCCATAAACTGTGAATTGGTGTGCACATGTACATACAGGTTTGTTTGAGACTCTTATCTTGTTATAGATCATCATCACACCACCTGAAGGGTACCAATGGTCTCTTTCAGGAGTTGGTCTAAACAATTGCCAACTCAATGAATCTCCCCATAGAACCTGATAAATAGAAAAGTATCAGCATAGACTGGGCTCCCATACCAGTCTGAGCCAGAGCCAGGTCTGCTTAGTGTTTAACATATGCCATGGACAGTGAATTCATACCAGAGTAGTCTCATTTGAGACTCCATAGCTGGACCAGAATATGTATACTGTGAAGCACATCAATCCTAGAGCTAACTAGCCAACTGGCTCTGTATACACCCTGTACAGAGCCTGTATAACGGAGTTTCATATATACCTGTAACTCACAGTAATCTGTGATATACAGAACTCACAGAAATCTGAGATATACACTGTCAGCAAAACTCACAGAAATCTGAGATATACACTGTCAGCAAAACTCACAGCAACCTGTGATATACACTGTCAGTAAAACTCACAGCAATCTGTGATATACACTGGCAGCCAAACTCACAGAAATCTGTGATATACAAGGTCAGTAAAACTCTCAGCAATCTGTGATATACACTGTCAGCAAAACTTACAGCAATCTGTGATATACACTGTCAACCAAACTCACAGCAATCTGTAGCCCATGGAGCAGCATAGCTAAGGGGAGTGGGCCTTGACATTGCCAGGAGACAGGCCATCTAAAGGTCAGTGGTCAGGGACTGGTCTTAGGAAATGGTGGGGTGGAGTTAAAAAGGAGAGTATAAGTAGTGGCCATTTTGGAACCAGGGATCACTTTAATTTAAGTTACACTTACCTGTTGTTGTGGCAGGAGTTGTGTGGCTTTTTCTTTTGTCTGCTCTGCAAGTTGTCAGCAAAATGGAATATTGGCTGGAAGGAGTCCGGGCTGCTGTGCAGGAGAGGGGAATCGAGTGGCTCAGGGATCGCCTGGGAGATGCTCTGCCTTCTGGATCTGGAGGTTCCCAGGGTCAGAGGCCGGTCAGGAAGACGAGGCCCCCGCAGCGGTTGAGCCCCAGCGTGGTTCCCGTGCCCCGGCGTCCGAAGAGCCCTGAGGAGGCCGCAAGTGGAGGAGGTCGAGGACGGCGTCGTGGTGCAACCGCACGAATGAGCCGTCAGGCGAGGCTGGAGGTGCAGGCTGCTGGTTCGTGAACTGAATCCGATACTGCCGAACATTCAGGAGGCGAACGTGGAGGTATGCGAACCAGCGAACGGGCAGAAACTGCCGAACATTCGGGAGATGAACGTGGAGGTAGGAGAATTGGCGAATGGGCAACAGCTGCCGAATGTGGAGGTACTGACACTGCTGACCGTTCGTTTCCCGAACGGGGAGGTGAAAAAATGTTTGGAAGTTGAACGGGGAGGTAGCCATACTGCCGGCCGTTCAGCTGTCGAACGGGGAAGCAGTAAAACTGCAGAATGTTCAGTTTTTGTGTCCTCTTTTGCAGGGAAGGAAGGAGAAGCAGCTGCAGGTGATAGAAGTCCTGGAAAGAGGCCATTCCAAGCACGGGCCAGCGGAAGAAGGACGAGCGGTACGGCAGGCTTGGCAGCAGGTCACAGGAACGCTGGAAGCGCTTTTGGAGGAGCAGGGACAGCATCCTCTATCCCGGTGGTGCGGATTCTTCACCGTTTTGTCTTGTTCTGTATGAGGTTTAACATTGTTTTTTGGGCACGCCACATGCCGGGACTGTTGAATGTTATTGCTGATGCGTTCTCGTTTGCAGTGGGAGAGGTTCCGGCAGGTAGGCAGCTCGGGACATCATGCTAGGTGGGCTGATCAGGGCACCCGCTACCTGGATGGCGATCAGTAAGGTGTGAGGGGAATGGGACGAGCTGGTGCAACAGACAGGGGGTCAGCTCTCAAGGGAGGCATGGTTGGACGCGCTGCTGTGGCTCTTGTGTAGGTCAGTCACCACAGGGGCTTCGGCAGCGGTGGTAGGGCGTAAGCTGGCAGCGCTAGCCTTCTTGTTCAAATTTAACGGGTGGGAGGATGCTAACATTCTCTTGTTTCAGGAGGGGTAAGGTGTCAGTGGATTCTAGGAGGCCGGTGTCATTCAAGTTGCTTTAGCGGGTGGTCCGGGTGCTGCCCGCGGTGTGTTTTTCAGGATACAAAGTTATGATGTTTTCCGTGGTTTTTAGCTTTGCCTTTTTCGGGGAATTTCGTATTAGCGAGCTGGTTAGCAGCAATCGCCAGGGGGCCGGGTGGCTTCAGGCGGTGGACGTGGAAGTGTGGAGTAACAAGGTAGTGATTAACCTGAGGCGGTCCAAAATGGATGTAATGGGGAAGGGAATGTTGGTTACATTGTGGGAGCTCCCGGGTGGGAGAACTTGCCCGGTTAAGTGCGCAATGGCCTTCCGGGAGGTACGGGCAATGGCTGGGGGTTCATATTTTAAGAAAGAGAACGGCTCTTCGCTATCGAAGTTCCAGTTCCTCAGGGTTTTTCAGAAGGCATTGGCAAGGCTGGGAGTGGACCCGGGCCAATTCGGGACACATTCTTTCAGGATTGGTGCAGCTACTGAAGCGGCGAGACTAGGCTTGGGTGACGAACAGGTGAAAAGGATTGGCAGGTGGGAGTCGCTGAGGTTCAGGTCTTACATTAGGCCAGACAAGTTGGTATAAGGTTAAGGGTGGTTAATGGGGAATGTTGGTTTGGTGGTTGTTTGTGGTTGTCTATGTTTGCTTTATGTTTTGGAGGTCGAATGGCATGGCCACTCATACATGGCCACTCATACATATACTGGGCTCAACGGAGAGCTGCAGTTCAACATCATGGTCTACAGCTGGTCTTTCCAAGTTCTTTGGTGCAGCTTCGGTGGTTTGGTTACCGGGGCTGGGGTTGGAATGTTATATGTGATGAAATGTTTCACAAAATTATTTTGGGACAGGTTCCGCACATAGTGGTGCTTCACGCAGGGGGCAATGATGTGTGGTCGTTACCTCAAAAGGTTTTGCTCGAATGTTTGAAGACTAATGTGGACAAATTAAGGGAGTTAGTGCCAGGGGTTATGGTAGTATGGTCGGAGATGGTTCCGAGGTTGTACTGGCGGCACGCGCAGAATCCCTCCGCGGTGGCGAAGATTAAGGGTAAGGTTAATAAGGTGATGGCAGCGTAAGTGAAATGGTCAGGGGGGTTGTAATTAGGCACAGGGAGTTGGAAGACATGCTTCCAGGTTATTATAGGTGTGATGGGGTCCATCTGTCCAATGTGGGTTTGGACTTTTTGTTGCTGGGTTTCCAGGAGGGCTGCCAGAGGGCGATATTTCCCTGGGGGGGGGTGTCGCTCAAGAGCTCGAGGAGTCGAGCTCTGAGCTGTGGCGGGGGATGGAGAGTAAAGTTGGGGGGAGAAAAGAGTGAGATGGGGAAAAAGTTTGGAGTTCAGGGCTAATAGGTAGACCTTTGGACTGGTTTGATAGGTTCGAGCTTGTAGGTGGCTCCGAACCGAGGTGTGTATGGGGTGTCTCGGTATGCCCATACACTTGTGGTGCCCTTTGGTGGCAATGGTCATGTTTCATGTTAAGTAAAATGTTACAATGTTTGGGTATTATGTTATGTGGGGGTGGGTCATTGTCAAGGGTTTAAATTGTAAATGCAGGATGTTAATTGTGCAGGCCAACATGTGCCTGCTGTTGACAATGACCTTTATAATTTATGTTAAATATCAAATAAAGCTGTGATATAATTTTGCCAAAACCATGGTGCCAGTGCTTTATTGGGAATTGGGTATTTGGTGGGGGTTTTAAGCAAAGGCCAACAAGGCGACTGAGCACATGTCATGTGATATACACTGTCAGCCAAACTAAATCTGTGATATACATTGTCAGCAAAACTCACAGCAATCTGTGATATATACACTGTCATTGAAACTCACAGTAATCTTTGATATAAACTGGGGGGGGGGTTAAATCAAAGGGACAGCAAACTGAATAGGTATCTCCAGGAACCCCCATGAAACCACTACAATGTAAAAGAAAAATCCCCAAATAAAACAAAGAAGAGCAAAAAGGCACAGTAATCTTAAAAACTAAGCATAATTAATACAATTTCATAAATAAATCATAATAAAAGCCACCCACTATAAGCAGGAGGCAGTGGTACTCTGACCTGTACTGACTGCAGAGCAGCAAAGAAAGAGGAAATGATGCAATGGGGAGGGGAGTTTTATAGTACCTAACTTTTTTCTGATTGGTTGTTTTTCTGTGCTGCTGTGGAGTTCTAGTAAAGAGAGACTTAAGCAAATACTCGCCTCCTGTCATGTTGTAAAATTGATTGTTTACTTAAAATCTGGTGGGCAAGCTTAACCCCTTCAGGACGGGTGACGGACGAGGTCCGTCACAGAGGGGAGACCCTTAACGACGGGTGACGGACCTCGTCCGTCACGCGGTAAAATTAACCCCGGATCGCCGCTATCGCGGCGATCGCGGGGTTAATGGTGCTCCCGGTATGCCTCTGCATTGGAGGCATACCGGGAGCACCCGGTCAGTCTGCCCAGCACATGTGCTCGCTCTGACCGCAAGTCTGAGCGAGCACATGTGCTCTGTGTACTTACCTACCGGCTCCCTGCACTTCCGGGTTCTGTGTGAAGTGCAGGGAGCCGGATCAGTGATGATCCTGCCCCCTGCTGTTAAAAAAAATAAAGTTTATTTAAAGTGTCCCCCCTCTTACCCATTTTAATAAAAAATTAACCCCTTCCCTGCCAATTGATCACTGACTACAGTGATCAATTGGCAGGGATTACATTTTACTATGATCTGATTTTTTTTTTTAACCCCTGAGGGTTAATTTTTTTTTTTTTAACCCTCAGGGGTTAAATTAATTAAATTAATTAAATTATTTTTAAATTATATATTTAGATAGCTGGGGTAGGTGGAAGTTAGTGGGGAATTGGGGGATTTGGCGTTAGGCTAACTAGGGGTTAACGTTAAAAAAAAGTTTTAAAAGAAACTTTAAAAAGTTAAAAATTAAACTTAAAAAATGTTTTAATAACATTTAAGTAAAAAAAAACAAAAAAAACACACTTTACCTAGTCCAAATAAAAATTAACCCCTTCCCTGCCAGTCGATCACTGCCTACAGCGATCAAATAGAGATCACAGTATTATACTGTGATCTAATTTTTTTTAACCCCTGAGGATTAACTTTTATTCATTTTTTTAACCCTCAGGGGTTCAATTTATTTAATTAATTAATTTAAATATTTTATAACTATATATTTTGCTAGCTGGGGTGGGTGGGAGTTATGGGAAAATGGGGAATTTACTGTTAGTGCTGCGTACTGCTAGTTAGGGGTTAACAGTAAAAAAAAAATAGCTTAGAAAAATGTTAAATCTGTAAAAAAGTTTTAAGAAAGTTTAGGAAAGTTTAAAAAAATTTATAAGCAAAACAAAAGTTTAAAAACTAGTTTTTAAAAGTAAAAAGTTATAAAAAGTAAAAAAATACATTTTAAAAACGCTCATTACCACTACACCTGGAACAAACTAGAGAAAAAATTATCCCACGCCAAGGTTCAAAATATGCCTTTTGAATTACCCCAGGGTGTATTCTTTAATAAATAGTATGTGCTTGTGGGGAAGTTTCAATAACCAACCGTCTAAACTACTCCAAATTGGAACATGGACACAGCGTAAAACTTCAAAGTTAGAAAAAAATTGAATGGCTGCATCTCAAATGCGCCCCTTCAACATCCACATATACCTGGCAAAGGTACATACGTGGTATTGCTGTACTCAGACGACATAGCTGAGCAACATATGAAGTATTATACAGTCGTAGCACACATAAGGTTTGCAAAATATACTGTGCAAACTCACTTTGTATGTCAAAAAGGCAGAAAAATGCTTATTACCACTACACTTGGTACAAGCTAGCGGAAAAATGATCCCACGCTGAGGTTCAAAATATGCCCTTTTGAAATACCCTGGGATGTCTTCTTTAAGAAATGGTATGGCTTTATGGGGAATTTGGATTATATAGCCTGGTAAAATACTCTAAAATGGGACATAGGCACAGCATAAAAATTCAAAGTTTGAAAAAAACTGGAATGGCTGTGTCCCAAATGCGCCCCTCCGATGTCCACACATACCTGGCAAAGGTACATACGGGGGTATTGCTGTACTCAGCCGACATAGCTGAGCAACATATGAAGTATTATACAGTCATAGCACACATAAGGTTTGCAAAATATGCTGCGCAAACTCACTTTGTATGTCAAAAGGCAGAAAAAATGCTTATTACCACTACACTTGGTACAAGCTAGCGGAAAAATGATCCCACGCTAAGGTTCAAAATATGCCTTTTGAAATACCCTGAGATGTCTTCTTTAAGAAATGGTATGGCTTTATGGGGTATTTGGATTATATAGCCTGGTAAAATACTCTAAAATGGGACATAGGCACAGCATAAAAATTCAAAGTTTGAAAAAACTGGAATGGCTGTGTCCCAAATGTGCCCCTCCGATGTCCACACATACCTGGCAAAGGTACATACGGGGGTATTGCTGTACTCAGCCGACATAGCTGAACAACATATGAAGTATTATACAGTCGTAGCACACATAGGGTTTGCAAAATATACTGTGCAAACTCACTTTGTATGTCAAAAAGGCAGAAAAAACGCTTATTACCACTACATCTGGTACAAGCTAGCGGAAAAATGATCCCACGCTAAGGTTCAAACTATACCTTTGAAACACCCTGGGGTGTCTACTTTAAGAAATGGTAGGCCTTTGTGTGGTAGTTTGAATTTAAAACCTGCGAAGATGCTTGGAAATTGCACATAGGCCCAGCGTCAAAATTCAAAGTCTGGTAAAAACGGATATGGCTTGGTCTCCTATATGGCACTGTAGCTTCACAAAATAGTGACAAAGACATTCATTGGGGGTGTATTTTTACTCAAAAGACTTAGCTGGGCATAATTTGGGAGGTTTGAACTTAGTGGCACATATGAAATATACAAAACGCCCAGCAAAAATGCAATCCGTATGTAAAAAATACACAAAATTATTTTTACCACATACTTTGGCATATATTGGTGAAAAAATGGGGGTATGTTAAGGCACAATATGCACCTTATGAGATACCCTGGAGTGTCTACTTTTACAAATGGTAGGCCTTTGTGGGTTTTTTTTGAACAGTCAAACTGTTATAATACCCCAAATGGAAGCTAAGACTCATTAAATCCATCTCTCAAAATTCTACTGTGAATACTGTAAAGGACAGGTCTCCTATATGGGACTGTAGCTTCACGAAATAGTGACAAAGACATTCATATGGGGTGTCATTTTACTCAGAAGAATTAGCTGAGCATAATTTGGGGGGTTTGAACTTAGTGGCACATATGAAATATACAAAACGCCCAGCAAAAATGCAATACGTATGTAAAAAATGCACAAAATTATTTTTTACCACATACTTTGGCATATATTGGTGAAAAATGGGGGCATGTTAAGGCACAATATGCACCTTATGAGATACCCTGGAGTGTCTACTTTTACAAATGGTAGGCCTTTGTGGGGGTTTTTTGAACAGTCAAACTGTTATAATACCCCAAATGGAAGCTAAAGCTCATTAAATTCATCTCTCAAAATTCTACTGTGAATACTGAAAAGGACAGGTATCCTGTATGGCACTGTAACTTCACGAAATAGTGCAAAAGACATACAATGGGGTGTCATTTTACTCAGCAGATGTAACTGAACACAAAATAAAACTTTGTACAGGAATAGCACACACCAATTTTACAAAATATACACGAGAATTTCTCTGTTATAAGTTTGTGTGCCAAAAACCAAAAAGAACACAATTTTACTCCAATATTTAGCAGAGGTTGGCGGTGAAATGGCTACGTAGAAAGTGTAAAAACAACCTTAGGTAAATAGCCCGTGATGTCTACTTTATATAAATATATACTTTTGTGTGGCAATTTTGTTTTCTTTTATGGCTATTAAGCTTACAAGACAAACATACCAAATTCTAGAATTGCTCCACATTAAAAAGTTTATTTTACTCCTTGTGCTTTATGACCTGTAACTACCAAAAAAAACTTAAAATCCCAGACACATTATATATTCTGTAAATCAGAACAAATAAATAAATTTATTTTTAATTACTTTCCTTAACCTGCACTAATTATGCACATATTATTATTGCAAAAACTGTAAAAAAAAACAATATTTTTCATTTTTTTTGCATTTTTCTGTATTTTTTTTATAATAAGTAAGCATTTATATATATATATATATATATGTTATATCAAATTAAAGCCCTTTCTGTCCTTTAAAAAACAGTATATAATATGTGTCGGTGCAATAAATGAGAGAGATGCAAGTTGCAGTTGAACGCAAACAGCAAGAAAATGCAAAAATTGCTTGTGTCATTAAGCGTAAGTCAAGCTTCTGAAGCTGTGTCCTTAAGGGGTTAATAACCATTATGTTGTAAGTACAGATATGTAGTGCATCTTCCATGGTTGGTCACCAAGCAGGCTCTATGTTAGGAGTTAAAATAAAGAAATATACACCCAAAGTGTACACACAAGGTATACCTAAATATACTGGTACAGCACAGGTTTGATTTATCTGTGAAAATAAAAATAAACATATAGCGTTTTCTGTTTCTAACCAGATATTAGTAAGGACAAGGTGAGAGGAATAGAACTCACAAAGCAGGGGCGGTGCCAGGCTCTGTTGAATCAGCATACAGGGTGCCTACATAGGACAAATGACATGGTATCAGGACAAGAATGCCAGATAGAAAGTTAAAACAACACATTTATTGAATACAAATAAAAGTAGGAACTGTAGGACTAGAGTCCAATAGTTTAAGCAGTATATATATATATATATATATATATATATAAATATATATAAAAAATACCAGATGCTCCTGCACTCAAGCTCAAATTGCCCTTAGTGCCCGGGTGCTAGCAAGTCGTGGCAGTCCATATATACATCCAATAGATAGCTGCACTCACGGTAGATAAAAATCAAAATGTATTGAAAGTAAGTTAAAACATCAGCGATCAACGTTTCAGTCCTTTAGGGACTTTCCTCAGGATCATCTAAAGGACTGAAACGTTGATCGCTGATGTTTTAACTTACTTTCAATTAATTTTGATTTTTATCTACCATGAGTGCAGCTATCTATTGGATGTATATATATATATATATATATATAAAAAAATATCACCGCATACGTAGTCCTCAAAAGTCCAGTCCCAAAATAATCAGCGTTTCGGCTTTAGCCTTCTTCAGTTTGTTCCATGTTTTCTGTTTCAATGTTAGGAGCTAGTTAGATATCACCAAGTAAAAATGTTTGTGTCTAACGTGTATAAGGTATACACTGATCCATAATATGTACTATTATAATATTATTATTTTAATTTCAGATGCCACGTTCACAGTGCTCGGAAAATTGCCCACCTGGAAAGAGAAAAGTCCCAGGATCTTCAATCCATAGCTGTTGCTATAACTGTGTCCAGTGTTCAGAGGGTGAAATATCCAATATATCTGGTATAATAAAACACCATTACTGTAAATTAAAGCTAGCTATGTATGTGAGGTACCTGTAGTAAGGTAGAGTCTGAAGTAGAGCTTTGGCTGAGGGTTAATGCAAAAGGCATGGTCAGGCAAGCAGAGTCAGCAACATACTGACAAACAGGAACAAAATCAGGATCCAGGAGTTTAGTGAAAGGCAGGCAGAGGTTATACACAATCTGGCAACAAAGTATAGAATTGTAAAGAAAAAGAGTAGTCAGAAATATGGCAAAAACATAATCAAAAATACAGTAGCAATCTGAGGAAAATCACTCCCAATACAGAGAGTACAGGAAGTGCTAGTATGAAAGGGCTGAGATAATTGCAGATGTACCACAGCTGGCAGGCAGGTGGAGCCATGGAGTGCTAAGAGAAAAAATAAGGTATAGAGAGCACTGTGGGAAATATTAAGTCATCTTTGTGACTGAATAGTAGAACACCAGAAACCAACAGACCAAGGTTCAAATCCACAAAGCCACTTCCAAAACATAGGTGTCTGTCTATCCATCTCATTTGCAGCAGGTCATAACAACAAAAGGGTGCTCTACTAAGTAGGAAAGACACTTACCATGAAGGGGTTGAATAATTATGAGACTGGAAAAGTCATTATAAGTTGAATTTGGGTAAACAACTTGAATCATTTGTTATGTTGAGCTATTTCAATTGTTTTTATTTGATGTGTTCATTGAGAGATTCTGAAAGGTGGACACAAACATCGACAAAAACATTAGCACAAACTATATGCATACAGTGACAAAAACTGTCGTCGGTTCCCGCACACCACAACCGATCTGTTGATATTATTACTTATTGTATAAATTTACTTATGTATACCTACATCTAGTTAGATCACTTTATGTTTTTTTTGCCCCGAACACAAATATATATATATATATATATATATATATATATATATATATATATATATATATATATATATATATATATATATATATATATATATCATATAAATAATAATTAAAAATAATTAAACTGTAAAAATAATTTTAAAAATATATATATATATATAAATATGTCATTTTATTCTCACTGTATTTTGATATAAATATATATATATATATCTATGTATAATTTCCCCTTAATGACCGAGGACGAACTAGGTACATCCAACAAAAAATGGTTGTTAAGGATGTCCGCGACAAATAGGAGCCCTGGACCGACGATCCGCTGTGATCACAGTCGTGCAGGACTGGCAGAGACCCCAACAGTCCCTCTACAGCAGCTGCGGCCACCCCGGCCCTCCAGGGCCATGTCATCACCATGATCACATCACCGTAATAGTACTCTAGAAGCTGCCAGCAGGGGGACTGTCTGAGCTGTCGGGTAGTCCCCCAGGCTGCTAAAAAAATAAATAAAATAAATATATTATACATATACAGGTGGTCCATTTTAGTGACCTACCTGTTTTACCACGTCTCGCACTTACGACCAGGCGTTAGTGCGAGCCGTCAAGGGGATTCCCTGCTCTGGTGCACATGTCTATGTTTGGGATAACTTCCCCGAACATAGATGAACGCACCATAGCAGGGAATCCCTCAAATCTATGTTTGGGGAAAATTCCCCAAACATAGGCGAACGCACGAGAGCATTGAATCTCTCAAATCTATGTTTGGGGAAATTTCACCGAACATAGATTTGAGGGATTCCCTGCTCTGGTGCGTTTGTCTATGTTCGGGGAAGTTTCCCTGAACATAGATGAATGCACTAGAGCAGGGAATCCCTTAACTTCTCACTTAGCGACCGATTCGTTCTGCGACCAGGTCATAGGAAGGGAACCCGGTCGGTATGTGAGGAGTGTCTGTATTATATATTTATAATATATTATAAAATAATTAAATCAAATATATATATATATATATATATATATATATATATATATATGAAAATGTATTCATACTTACTGTAATTTTCCTTTCCTGGTCATAGGCCATGGCAGCACAACAATGGGTTAGCTCCTCCCTATCCCTAATTAGACAGGAACAAATAAATAGGGGTATAAATACCCCCTCCCACCACCACTCCCTCAGTCTTGTTAACAGCAATATCCCAGGGTGGGATCTTTGTGCTGCCATGGCCTATGACCAGGAAAGGAAAATTACGGTAAGTATGAATACATTTTCATCTTTCCTGGCCATATCCATGGCAGCACAACATTGGGTAATACCCCAGCAATAACCAAAGGAGGGAATAAAGAAAAACTCAGACTCAGTAATTCAGAGATGCTAGTGTATTAGCAATTTAACAACACGTGAAATTGTAGACAAATCAACTAAGATGAGTTGACTGCGGACAGAACAGTTTTGTCGAAGTGGTCGAAGTGGTCTAACTGGCTGGCTTTTACTCAATCTGGTAATGTTTTATAAACGTGTTCGGAGAGGACCAAGTGGTTGCTTTGCAGATGAGTTCTGGTGATACGTTAGCCGCTGCTGCCCAAGATGAGGAAAGGGACCTCGTAGAGTGAGCTTTGAGTCCTTCTGGAATTTTCACATTTGATACCTTGTAAGCCTGTATGATTGTGGCTACTATCCATCTACTGATGGCTATTTTTGATGCTTGAAGCCCTCTTCTGGGACTGTTGGGGATGATGAACAGTCTTTGAGAGTTACGCCAAGCAGATGATCTTTGCAGATAAACAGACAGACCTCTCACCAGATCGAATTGAGAAGGAATGAGTTCTGCTTCATTTTCGTTAACTTCCGAATGAAGAGCTGGGAGTATTATCTCCTCGTTGATGTGAAAAGCTGATACCACCTTAGGACGAAATTCAGGAACAGTCCTCAAAATTACTTTGTCCTTGTGGAACACTGTAAAAGGCTCTTTGGCCGATAAGGCATGGAGCACAGACACCGTTCTGCCTGAAGCTAAGGCCGCCAACAGAACTGTCTTTATGGTGAGAAAGTGAGGAGAGATGGATTCTAGAGGTTCAAAAGAAGGACCGCTCAGAGCTTTTAATACCAGTGGTAGATCCCATGGTGGAGCAAAAGGCTTGATAGGAGGCTTTATCTTTAATACTGCTGCCATGAATCTGGTCACATCCGTGTTTAAGGCCCATCTTTGATCTGTAAGGGCTGAGAGAGCCGAAAAATGTACTTTTAGGGTATTGTAACTTAACCCCTTGTCGAGCCTTAGTTGCAGAAATTCCAGGATATCTTTAGTAGTGATTGTCTGAATGTTTATTTGATTAGACGTTTGCCCAGGAGGAAAAGACATCCCAGATTCTGTAGTAAGTGGAGGACGTAGAGCGTCTTCTTGTTTGTAGCAGGGTGTCTATTACTGCATAAGAAAAACCTTTACCTTTTAACCCTTCCCTTTCAACTTCCATGCCATCAGATTGAGGGAGGCTGGGTCTGGGTGGAGAACAGGACCTTGATGTAGAAGCGAAGGAATCTTGGGAAGCTGCCAAGGGTCTGCATTGCAAAGGCTCAATAGAAGGGGAAACCATGGTCTGCGAGGCTAAAAGGGAGCTATGAGAATGATGGATGCCGTCTCTTGTCTCAACCGTCTCAGAAGTGGAAAGATGAGTGGAGTAGGAGGGAATGCATAACCTAGGTGGAATTGCCAATCGCTTGATAGAGCATCTCTTCCTATTGCCAGAGGATCAATGTTCTTTGAGAAGATGTTTTTTTTACTTTCCTGTTTTTGTTTGTTGCCATTAGGTCTATTTGAGGCATTCCCCATATTCGTGTAATTTTCTCTAATATTTTGTTTGACAGACTCCATTCTCCTGGGTATTTTCCACTCTGCTCAGGAAATCTGCGATGGAATTCTGGATTCCAGGAAGATGTACTGCCGATATGCCTGCTAGATGTTTTTGCATAAAGGAGACTTCATAATTGACATCATCTTCTGACTCCTCGTTCCTCCTTGATGATTTATGTAGGCAACTACCGTGGCGTTGTCTGTTCTGATTTTGACCCACTTGAAGTGTATAAGGGGGAGAATTTGGTCTGAATTGGTCTTGCAGGTGAGCTCCCCATCCCCATGGGCTCTTATCCGTGGTTACAACAGTCCATGTGATGTTCCCCAAGAGGAATCCTCCGAACAGGGACTTCTTTTGTAACCACCACATCAGTGATTGATGGACCTGAGGAGGAATCTTGATAGGCTGTTGTTGATTTCCTGTTCTGAACTGGAGGATGAAGTTCTTCTGGAATTTCCTTATCCTCAATTGGGCCCATCTTGTTAGCACTATGGTGGAGGACATTGAGCCTAGAAGACTCATGCATTTCTCTGCTGAGGTTACATTGAATGCTAACATGTCTTTGACTTTATTAATTTTGTACTTCTTTCTGGAGACAGTTGCACTGTGCCTTCTAGTGTGTTGAATATGGCTCCCAAATATTTCATTTTCTGATCTGGTTGTAATTGACTCTTTTTCTTGTTTATCTTCCATCCATGGAAACGTAGGAAATGCATACAGATTTGCCCATGAGTCTGAATGGTATCTTTGTCCTCTGCCAAAATAAGGATGTCGTCCAGGTAATGGTAGATGGCTATGCCCTTTTTTCTGAGTTCTGCAGTTAAGACAACTAAGACTTTGGAGAATGTTCTTGGAGCTGTGCTGAGACCTCATGGCAGGGCCCAGAATTGCCCTTTTTCCACCGCAATGCGAAGGAACTTCTGATGGTCTACTGCAATAGGGATGTGGAAATAAGCGTCTGCCAAGTCTATATAAATCAGCCATTGGTATGGAAAAACTGTCTTTATGATGGATTGAATTGACTCCATTTTGAACGTTCGGATGTGTAGGAACTGATTTAACCTGCTCTAGGATAGGTCTCCATCCGCCTGAAGCCTTTCTGGTGAGGAACAGATGTGAATAAAATCCTCGACCCTGTAGACTCCGAGGAACCTGAATGATGACCCTTTCTTCCTGGAGTGTAGAAACGAATTCCTTCAAAGCTTGTCTTTTTCTACTTCTCCTGGCCATTTGGTTGTTTGAAAAGAGTGAGCTGGAGGGGTTCTGGAGAACTCTAAAGGATATCTTCTTCTTATGATATCCAACACCCATCTGTCTGTGGTGGATTGTTCCCATGCCTATTTGAAAAGTAACAGACGTGCCCCCACTCCTACTGACTGGGGAACTCGTCATAAGGATCTGGGATGCTTGTGGAATGAGGCGCCTCTTGATTTTCCACCTCTTGTAGATGACTGACATCCTCTCCATGGCTGGGATCTTCCATGCTCTCTTCCTGGCTTATAAGATCTTGAATCTCGAAAGAAAGAGTAGTCTGGATATCTTTTGGACTTAAAGGATCCTCTGGGCTTATGATCTTGTGGGGAGAAAAGCTATTTTGCCTTCGGCTGCTCTCTTGATACATTCATCCATATTTCTCCCAAACAACATGTCTCTGTGGAATGGTAAGGCACATAAACTAGCTTTAGAAGAAGCATCCGCTGCCCAGGATCTTAACCATAAAGCTCTTCTGGCTGAAACGGAGAGAGACATATTTCTGGCTAAGGCCTTAACCAGGTCAGAAGTAAAGTCTACTGCTAGCTTTATGTCTGAGGCTTTCTAGAAGACTGGATCTGCTTCTGCCTCTTTGAATGTGTTCTTCTAGATTTTCCATCCAAATTCTTAAAGCTCTGGAAACTGAGTTAAGGGCTACTGCTGGATGGAGGCTTGTGCCTGCTGCCACATAAGCCGTAGCGAGGTGTAAATCCGTATTTTTATCCATGGGATCTCTGAATGATACTGCATCGTCAACTGGTAGGGTACTGTACTTGGCCAGTCTCACTACAGCCACATCTATCTTAGGAGCAGAATCCCAGCAGCTAGAGTCCTTCCTTCCGAAAGGATAAAGGCGAGCAATTCTGCTTTGAGCTGCTAACTTTCTGCGTGTGTTAGACCATTCGTCTTCAATCAGTACTTTAATTGTCTCATGAACTGGGAAGGTAGCTCTTTTCTTTTTTAGATCTGCAAAATATCTGCTGGAAGTAGATGGTTGTTCTGAGGATACTTCCTTTAGGCTCAAGGACTTATGCACTCTAGCTATTAAGTGATCTACTTGAACAGCTTCCATAAAATCTGGGGCAAAGGATTCTTCTTCTGAAGAGGACAGCCCTTCTCTATAGGAGTCCATATCCATGGATTCATCCGAGGATTCCTCCTGAGAATAATCAAAGGGTTCAGCAAATCTGGGCCTTTTGTGAGATTTTCCTGCTTCTTTTATGCCCTGAGAAACAGCTTGTTCGATGAACTGCCTTATGTCCGGAGCAGGTGCAATGGTAGAAGCTCCAGCAGCTGCTGACAGGCATTCTGCACATAAACGCTTCCCTTCTAGTGGTATATTGTTGCAGGCCTCGCATCATTTGCCTTTGGAAGTTCCAGATGCTTGAATTCCCATAGAGCTATCATAATAGGGAATATAATTAGTCTAGGCACTCTTTTGTTTGTAATTATATATAGAGAGAGAAAAAAGTTGGCTTACCTATAAATATTTGTTTGATTTTGACGCCTTAAAAAGGGCGTGTGACGTCACCGATGATGTCCCTGGATTTCTCAAGCTGACCGTAATGCGCATGCGCGGAACCTATACTTCGCACATGCGCGGAAGCCAGACATGATGCGCACACATACGCGCATGCGCAGAGCGGCCCAAGGACGCCAATCAAGATGGCAGCTCCCAGAACCCAGGGCCGTCAAACTTTTAACTTAAAAGCAGAAAAAAAAAAACATGACCCCAAAAAACCTTACCTGACAACAGCCTGGAAGGCATGATGAAACACATATGGAGAGATAGAGAAAAAAAATGGTAAGACAATTTTACTTACTACTGGGGAAGGTGGAGGGGACCGGACAGCCACAAAGCCATAGACATACCTTTGATATCTATATTGGATACTGTAGATGCCAGGTAAAAGATAGGAAGAATCTTTTGAAGATGAGGTTCTTCTGCCACTTCCTGCTACCGCTTGGTCACTGCAGGGAATTGTTCTTATTGGCAATTTTTTCTTGCTACCCCTAGGGTCACTGCAAGTGGCTGCCGGTCACTAAAGGAGCATCTCCAGGGCCACGTACTGGAGACTTCCCAAGGAAGAGAGGATGAACTCCCTTGGGGCCGAAGGTAAAAACCCTCAGGTAAGCCAAAAAGTAAAAATGTTCTAGTCTATAAATGACTAGAGTCCTATAGGAATAGGACAGGAACAAAAAGACTGAGGGAGTGGTGGTGGGAGGGGGTATTACCCATTGTTGTGCTGCCATGGATATGGCCAGGAAATAAATAAATATATATATATGTGTGTATTAAGGCAATTTTGCCTGGATTTGTAGGAGGTGCTTGGTATCCACTCCTAGTCTACTTAAGGCACACCCCTTACCTTGCAAGCGGTGTCCAGGAATCCTGTTTCAGGCCTTTTCCATCTGTCCAGCTTCTTCTGACCCCGGTCTTCATCGTAGATCGCGTCCCAGGGACTCCTAAACCGTAAGTTAGACCTACCTGTCACGCCAGGATCGGTTCCCAAGGCGTACGGTACATCACGGGTCCTCGCTTTACGTTTATTTCCCTGTTATGTCACAAATTGAACAAGCCGTTCGCAGTTTTCATTTCGTACGGTCATTCGGCTAATAAATATATTCGTAGAAGTGGTCATTTCGCATATAACTATTCCGTGTTACAGTAAAACAAGTTATCATTTCGGTTGTGTTGCCATCCGGCACTTTTTCATGATACGCTTAAACACGCTTGATGTTCGCATAAAATTCATACGTTTAAACTATTCGTTCCAACTTCTGTTTTCCCTCACATTGGGTTTCGGTTTTATTGCTATGTATTACGCATAAATCCTTTCGTGGATTACTTTCACCATTTCATGTATATACCATTCGGGTAACAAATTACTTGGTTAAATAGACAGATTATTTCCATTACTGTTTAAAGGTATCAGTATTGTATTATGTCCATACAAACCAAGCTCACTTATCTGTATGGATCATTTTGACTCCCACGCTTTCAGGGGTCTGCCATACTTATTCATTCAAATGGACTCAGCCTACATTACAGGCCTCATTTCTGTGTTATAAACTAAGCACATACATAAGGATACAGTTTCCTTTTACAAGCAAGAAATTCTCGGGTTGAATCACGTACTGATCCAACCAATCATACGTCTTTTCATTACAGATATACCCTGCCCCCTTTTTTTTTGTTATTCTATTATATATCAACATAACGCTGTTTGGTAGTTCTTCATACACTAATTAATTGTTTTGGTTGTAGTATGTCTCAGGAAGGGGTAGAGCTATCACTACACAAGGAGGAGAGGTAAATAGTCCGGCATCGATCAGATCCTGGACGATCCCGCGTATAACTACGGAATTAAGGAGACAGCAAATCCCCTACCCCGCTACAGCAAGGAAAGCAAACTGCTATGTACCTCAACAAACAACATGGATCCCGGGGAAGGACCTAGCCAGTCCAACCCAGGAGACATACATTCCATGTTATCTTCACTCATGGCGTCCATGAGCAAGGTCAACTCCAGGCTAGAGAAACTTTAGTGGGTCACCGTGGCCCTTACTCTAGCAGGGCCACCCGCTGCTGCATCACAAGCACCAGCTGACTTGCTATTGGTTCCTCCAGCCATCACCTCGGATGACCAGGAAGTTAGCCCTGCTCATATGATCCCTGAGCACATAAAAAGAGATATCCTGGAAGGTAAAGATGTCTATCTAGCTTCCCTGCTGATTGCCTCCCAGGATATTGTGGAAAATATAACTTATGCTTATGATGATGTGTCTGTTGTTGTCAGATCTAGGGACTCCCGCCTAAACAGGAAACTGACTATCCCTGAGTTTGTACTGGCCTTTGGTATTTACCGGGATGTCATCTGTGCGGTCTATCCCAATAGAAGAGAGGAGTTTGATCTTTATATGCACAAGCTGGTAGATCTGGGCAACAAATATGGGGGTTCAGCCTTTTATGACTACCATAGGTCTTTTTCTGCAAAAGTGTCTGGAGCGTTCTCCCAGTATGGAACAAGATCCAACTGGGGAAGGATTGATACCGTCATATCAGACACTTTGCAGGTCTAACAACACCGGCTTGTGCATACAGCTCCTCTACAGCCCATACAACAAATTTCTGACGAACATTCCTCCACGCAAGGAGCTAGTTCCTCTGGTGTTCCAGAGAAATTGACACGAGACAAACTGGGATGTCCAATCAAGTTTCTGGGCAAGTCCCAGATATGTAACAATTTCAATGTTGGGTCTTGTAATTATAGCGGTTGCAGATTATTGCATATCTGTTTAAAATGTTCTAGGGCACATGCAAAAACCATGTGTCCAAATAAAATGTATTCTAAGCCTTACCTCACGTCGATTAATATGCCGGTATTTACTGCATTTATGTCACATCACCCGTCTAAACACTTGGTGGACTTTCTTATCTCTGGGGTATTCACATCCACATGGGTATTCTACACGTACCATCCGGGACTCTGGAATGCCCTAATCTACAATCCGCACAACATAATCCCCCAGCTGGTGACACTCTCACAGCCCAAGAAGTTGCTGAGGGTTTCGTATTGGGGCCTTTCAAAGCTCCTCCATTCAAAGAATGGCGTACTAACCCCATTGGTATTGTCACAGGGAAATCTTCCCTTAAACAGAGACTCATTATTGACTTGTCAGCACCACACATCGGCCAACCCCAGTCTTAATTCCCTCATACACTCCGAGGAATTCTCCCTGCAATACACCACCATAGATCACGCAATTACAGCGATCATAGAAGCAGGGGTCGGAGCCTGGCTTAGTAAGACCGATATTACTAATGCCTTTAAATTGCTACCAATCCACCCACACTGTGGCACCTGCATGGAATCAAGTGGGCCGGGCACTACTATTTTTTATCTCTTGTTTAACTTTTGGGTCCAAAAGTAGCCCAGCTATTTTCGACACATTTGCCGAAGCATTGTGCTGGTTACTATTAAACATAGCCAAATGCCCTACGGTATTACATTACCTGAACGACTTCTTACTGGTCGAGGAAAATACTTCCCCTCCTAGTAGCCTCAAAGCTACCACCAAGCTATTCAAGCAACTAGGTGTACCAATCTCCTCTAAGAAAACGGAGGGGCCAGACACGATTATCACTTTTTTGGGTATTCAATTAGACTCAACCACAATGCAAGCAAGCCTACCACACGACAAGATAGAGAACATTCTTACCTACATCAACCGCTACCTTCAACTCGGTACTTGCAACCTCAAAGAGCTACAGTCCCTGCTGGGGTCACTAAATTTTGCCATGTGTATCATACCTCAAGGGCGCTCCTTCATATCACGACTCTTGTATTTTCTTCCACGCTTCCTGCACGATACACACAGGTTGTCCTTAGATAACCAAGCTACGGCAGACTTATGCATGTGGAAGGAATTTTTAACCACTTGGAATGGTAAAAGTATGTTCCTCCCTCAATTGACTGACTCATCACCTACTATTTGGTCAGATGCAGCATCTACCACAGGTTTTGCAGCAATTTTTGTGAACGAATGGCTTTGGGGCAGCTGGCCTACAGCAGTTCAGGATTTGCTAGATTTTTCCACTACCTCAGCTCTCTTTGAGATCTATCCCATCGTGGCGGCTGCCGTAGCATTTATGGGCAAATATGCCAGTTCGTTGTTACTCAGACAATCAGGAAACCTGTCACATCATCTGAGGAACCTCATGTGGTTGGCAGCCTGTCATAATTTTTTTCTATATTGTTTCCATGTTCCAGGAATATGTAACACAGCTGCTGACATTTTGTCTCATTTTAAATTTCAGGCATTTCATCAAGCACTACCATCAGCTGCACTCACAGCCACCACCACTCCAACATTTCAACAACTAATACTGGACTAGACATCATCATGCATCATAGCAGGACACTGTCCCAATTGGCACTGTCAAAAAATACACACAAAACATATGACAGGGCTTTCACACTATTCAAAAGATTCCTTTTGGAACATAACATCATGCAACCATTTGTTATGACATCTTTTTGGGGTTTTGCTTCTTTTTACCACCTTAAACTTAAAATGTCATATAACACCATCAAACTTTATCTCACAGGCATTCAACACCATATGCTAATCTTACAACCTAACAACACTAGTTTCATGGCCTCTCACCAGATTAAGAACATACTCAGAGGCATTCAGAAATCTGAACCCACACGTACATCACAGAGGCTACCCATAGATAACCATATCTTCAAGGCATTATCTAACCTGCTTGATTTTTAAATCTTTTGACAACAATACAAATTCTGTCATCAAAACAGCAATATACATAGCTTTCTATGGAATCCTAAGACCTAGAGAGTTACTACAACCAACATAACACAATCTGCTCCTATTCTCCTCTATTCCCACTTAACAAAACAAATGGATCATTACACCCTGACGCTACCTCACTCCAAAACCAGCCAGCACATACTAGTAAACATTCTATACTTACATTGGTATCCACTCCTAGCCTACTTAAGGCACACCCCTTACCTTGCTCCTGACCATTCGAGGTCAGCATTGAATGACCCCCCCACCACACCACATTTTAACATTATTTCCTTTCCATTTATTTTCCTGGGTAAGCCCTCTTCTTTCTCAGGCCTACCTCATCGTCGGTTCCGGCACACCACAACCGACTTGCCCTTTTTACTATCCTAGATTTCATTATGGTATTTTACTCTGTACTATCATGAGCACCTAACACACATATATATATATATATATATATAAAACAAGAGGGGGTTGGCTGCACTCACCTTAACATGCATAAATGGGGGTGCTGCTGGGGGCCAAATAATACAATACACAAGATCCAGCGCACTCACCTATCCACTAAACAGCAACTTCAATGTTGAAAGATTTTATTTGTTTTTTTAAAAACACCTAATCTAGGCAAAAATAATGGGGATTTAGTTACATTATATGATCATACATTGCATAAGCCTGCCACCCCTCCCTGTCACAGGTGCCTCATCCGAGGGCCCTATTTAGTACTGCAGAGAGCCCCAGATGGAATTTCTTTCCCCAAGTAGGTTAATCTCATAAGAGCAGACATTAGGCTGTTAGTGTAGGACCTGCCAAAGATGGGGTACATTGACGTTGTGGCAGGCTTATGCAATGTATGATCATATAATATAACTAAACCCCCATTATTTTTGCCTAGATTAGGTGTTTTTAAAAAAACAAATAAAATCTTTCAACATTGAAGTTGCTGTTTAGTGGATAGGTGAGTGCGCTGGATCTTGTGTAATATATATATATATATATATATATATATATATATATATATATATATATATATATATATATATATATATATATATATATATATAAAGAAAAAAAGCACTGTACCTTGCACTCAAACTCCATGTATCCAAACCGGGTGCACTCCCAGGGCTCCAAATATCCAAATAGCTGAATCAAAGGTTGCACTCACGGATTCTTAAAACATAGCTTTTATTGTGTACTCCTAAAAAAAAATCGACGTTTCAGTCCTATTCAAGGACTTTCATCATGATCCTGATGATAGTCCTTGAATAGGACTGAAACGTCGATTTTTTTAGGAGTACACAATAAAAGCTATGTTTTAAGAATCCGTGAGTGCAACCTTTGATTCAGCTATTTATATATTTGTGGTCGTGGCAATATAGCCGTATATGGAAACATAGCATATAATAACATGAATATCAATTAGTTGGAATTAGTCGGTTGTGGTGTGCCGAAACCGACAGAGGAGTAGGCCTGTAAAAAGTGGGCCCACCTTAGAGGGTGTTTGTAATAGAGGGAGTGGTGGGTGGGGTGACTCGCCAGACCATTAACGGTAATGTGAGAGTGGATTGGTAGCCCTTTTATAGGGAAACCAAGCCCCTCCCACAACTACAGGCCAAGCCTTTTAATATATATAAAAACATGCACATGTATTATATTTCTAAAAAAGCGAAAAAATCTTGCACTTCACCAAAAACAAATTACTGTAGTGCCCAGTGCTTTTCAGCCAAGAATACAAAAATTGCAAAGAATAGCACTCCAAAGACTTATATAACATTGAACTTCTATTTACCTTCAATAAAAAACGTTCAACGTTACTGCTTGATTCCCTCAAGCTTTCATTCATCCCTCATAGCTTGAGGGAATTAAACTGAAACGTTGACCGTTTTTTATTAAAGGAAAATAAAAGTTACATTTTATATAAATTGCACTGTGAATGTTTACATGTTGTGTTCAATAAAAACATGGCAACATTTCATTCTTTGTGTGTTATTAGTTTAAGCAGACTGTGGTTGTCTATTGTTGTGGTTTAGATGATGATCAGATCACATTTTATGACCAATTTGTGCAGAACTATATCTAACTATAGGCAGATAGCACTCCAAGGACTTGGTAAGATAAAAAAAAAAAATAACTTAGCTTTTATTCAGCAGTATGCCATAGTGCAAGTTCCATAACCAGTGGATATATAACAAACATAATCTTAGAAAAACATTGTACACATGTGTAACTTACCCTTTAACCCCAGTGATTGCCGTAGCTGATCGCTAATTTCGGCGGATAGAATTGACCCAGTAATGGATAGTATTGCAGCTGTCCAAAGTGATGCTGCAGTCTGAGTGTGTTCCAGCGATTCACTTAGAGATAGCTGGAATGCAAGGGGGCGTGTATGTATATGGGTTGTCATAGTAACCCGGTACAGGACATTAGTCCGCGATCGTTCACGGATGCAAAGGGTTTGAAACATATTGGAAGAGGGTGGCATTCAAAGCAATCCTAACAATATGAGAATAGAACCTATAGACAAGCAGAGACAGAAGCAAATATATGCTGGATATTATATTCATATACGTCTGTGTGAGCTTGGTCTTGGACACACTGATCCAGAGAAAGTATATAAACAGACATAGAAAAGGCTGGTCTGAGAATATAGTCAACAAACCCTCGAAGGATGTGTCTAAGTCAATCAAACTAGTTGCACTCTGGAGCTGTAAGCATGGATTGGTGTGAGAAAGAAATATTAAGAAATGATAGGAGGAGCTCTTGAACCATTAGCCAAATGGTTAGATTTCCTGTTCGGCGATGGGACTTAGTCGTTTTTTCAGCCTGAAATAGACCGACCTCACAGCCCAAATCTATGGAACTGTTTTGGGCAGGAAAATGTGCTTGCGGTCGGTCATAAAGGGACCTCCAGCTAACTTTTTAATCCCTGGATTATTTGGCTGATTTTTGGTTATGTTTATGTTTTAAGTGTGCTGATTCCAAATATGTAATTATGAAGATGGGATGTGTTCCGCGTCTCCTATCAGTGGACGTGTATATGGCAGCCATTTTAGGAACCGTACACCTGGGACCCGAGCAAGGTCACCTCGTTCAACAGGCTTGCAGCGTATCCTCCAGGAAGAAGAGCCTGAACCCTTACCGGCTGCACGTGTCTTACCTGTACATGGAAAGCTGCTCTGGTTCCTTGATGAGCCAGCTGCCCGTGAGTTAACATGTCCCGTGGAGAAGCACTCTGTCCTGTAAAGCCTCACCAAAAAAAAGGAGTGGTGTGTTTAGTATTGTTCTGATCAGTTTAATACCTTCCGCGTCTCCTATCAGTGGACGTGTATATGGCAGCCATTTTGTCAGATTCAAGTTCTTGTGCCCCACAGTTCAAAATAACATTCAAATGACAATTCATGACAGATCACACAAGTGAATAGCCCTGCCAATGTCTTCTCAGAATTTTTTCGTTTTCTATGAAGAAATAGAGATGCAAGAGCACTTGGCAGTTATGGATTGACAGCTGTCCTAGGGATCCCTGATACACACTGACACAGATCAGAATAGGGACTGTTCCTCCTACATCGGGTCACTTGGCAGATATGGATTGACACCTGTCCTCAGAGACTATGATACACATTTACACAGAGCAGAATAGAGACTGTTCCCCCTACATAGGGTCACTTGGCAGATATGGATTGACACCTGTCCTAAGGATCCCTGATACACACTGATACACACATACTTGGATGGTATAGACATTTTTAGCTGCTCCTGGCCCGAACACCTGACCCACATAGGAGCCGTAATAGACCGGATTAGGGAGTCCGGACTGACCCTAAAACCCAGTAAGTGCCATATAGGAACGTGTAAAAACCTCCCCAAGATAGTAGTATGGGCCCCAGAGTGTGAACAGGCCTTCCAACAGCTCAAGACGGCGCTCATTAAATCACCTGTACTTTCTTCTCCTGATCCAACTAAACACTTTCTCGTCCATACAGACGCTTCTATACTTGGATTGGGAGCAGTACTGAGCCAAGTCGGAGCAGATGGTGGCGAGCAACCCGGGGCTTATCTAAGCTGTAAACTTTTGCACAGCGAAGTATATTCACTGCCATTGAAAAGGAGTGCATGGCGGTGGTGTGGGCCCTCAAAAAGCTGCAACCTACTTGTATGGACAACCGTTTACCTTACTCACAGATCACAACAAATTTGGGGCACTGCGCGTGCAATCTAATGTGCCACCAGTGGTGTGTTTAGTACTATTGTTATCAGTTTAATCACTGTTACATCCCTTATCCGTTGGTGGCGGATAAGTCACGCAAGTCAACCGGCATTCAGAGCTAAAATACAGCAGCGTGTGGACCATTTTTAGCCCAAGGCAGCTCATCTCATCAGGCCTTTTTTAATCTAATGTATCGCCTAGTGTCAGTCCCTTCGGGATCCATCCCTCATTCATCTTAATAAAGGTGAGGTAATCTAGACTTTTTTGACCTAGGCGACTTCTCTTCTCAGTCACAATACCTCCTGCTGCACTGAAGGTCCTTTCTGACAGGACACTTGAAGCGGGGCAGGCCAGAAGTTCTATCGCAAATTGGGATAGCTCAGGCCACAGGTCAAGCCTGCACACCCAGTAGTCAAGGGTTTCATCGCTCCTCAGAGTGTCGATATCTGCAGTTAAGGCGAGGTAGTCTGCTACCTGTCGGTCGAGTCGCTCTCTGAGGGTGGATCCCGAAGGGCTGTGGCGATGCGTAGGACTTAAAAAGGTCCGCATGTCCTCCATCAACAACACGTCTCTAAAGCGTCCTGTCCTTGCCGGCGTGGTCATGGGAGGAGGAGGATGACTTCCACCTCTCCCCCTGTTAGATTCCCGTTGTGCTGTGACATCACCCTTATACGCTGTGTAAAGCATACTTTTCAATTTATTTTGCAAATGCTGCATCCTTTCATACTTGTTGTAATTCGGTAACATTTCCGCCACTTTCTGCTTATACCGGGGGTCTAGTAGCGTGGACACCCAGTACAGGTCGTTCTCCTTCAGCCTTTTTATACGAGGGTCCCTCAACAGGCACGACAGCATGAAAGACCCCATTTGCACAAGGTTGGATGCCGAGCTACTCATTTCCCGTTCCTCCTCCTCACTGATGTCAATGAAGGTATTTTCTTCCCCCCAGCCACGTACAACACCACGGGTACCAGATAGGTGACAACGAGCACCCTGGGATGCCTGTTGTGGTTGGTCTTGCTCCTCCTCTTCCTCCTCCTCAAAGCCACATTCCTCCTCTGACTCCTCTTCCTCACAATCCTCTTCCAGAGTTGCCGCAGGTCCAGCAAGCGATGCTGATAAGGCTGTTTCTGGAGGTGATGGTGACCACAACTCTTCCTCTTCCTCTTCACGCTCATCTATGGCCTGATCCAGCACTCTTCGCAGGGCACGCTCCAGGAAGAAAACAAATGGTATGATGTCGCTGATGGTGCCTTCGGTGCGACTGACTAAATTTGTCACCTCCTCAAAAGGACGCATGAGCCTACAGGCATTGCGCATGAGCGTCCAGTAACGTGGCAAAAAAATTCCCAGCTCCCCAGAGGCTGTCCTAGCACCCCGGTCATACAAATATTCATTAACGGCTTTTTCTTGTTGGAGCAGGCGGTCAACATTAGAGTGTTGAATTCCAACGTGTCGGGCTGTCGCAAATCAAGCGCCTCACTGGCATGTTGTTTCGCCGCTGGATATCGGCAAAGTGAGCCATGGCCGTGTAGGAACGCCTGAAATGGCCACACACCTTCCTGGCCTGCTTCAGGACGTCCTGTAAGCCTATGTACTTATGCACAAAGCGTTGTACGATCAGATTACACACATGTGACAACTTGCCCAACTTCAATGCCGCTAACAAATTTGTTCCGTTGTCACAAACCACTTTGCCGATATCCAGTCGCTGCGGAGTCAGCCACTTTTCCACCTGTGCGTTCAGGGCGGACAGGAGTGCTTGTCCGGTGTGACTCTCTGCTTTCAAGCAAGTCAAACCTAAGACGGCGTGACACTGCCGTATCCGGGATGTGGAATAGTACCTGGGGAGCTGGGGTGGTGCCGTTGATGTGGAGCAAGACGCAGCAGCAGAAGAGGACTCAGCCGAGGAGGTTATGGAAGAGGATGGAGTAGGAGGAGTAGAGGAGGTGGTAGCAGGACTGCCTGCAAGTCGTGGCGGTGTCACCAACTCCTCTGCAGAGCCATGCATTCCATGCTTGGCAGCAGTCAGCAGGTTTACCCAATGCGCAGTGTAGGTGATATACCTGCCCTGACCATGCTTTGCAGACCAGGTATCAGTGGTCAGATGGACCCTTGCCCCAACACTTCCTTTTGCACAATTGAGTACAGGTTGGGGATTGCCTTTTGCGAAAAGTAATTTCGGCCGGGTACCTTCCACTGCGGTGTCCCAATAGCTACAAATTTTTTGAACGCCTCAGACTCCACCAGCTTGTATGGTAAAAGCTGGCGGGCTAATAGTTTGGACAAGCCAGCAGTCAGACGCTGGGCAAGGGGGTGACTTTCTGACATTGTCTTCTTACGCTCAAACATGTCCTTGACAGACACATGACTGTGGGAAGATGAGCATGAACTGCTCAAGGCGGGAGGCGGAGTGGCGGATGGTTGAGAGGGGACAAGGAGGACAGCAGTGGTTGACGTGGCTGAAGATGCTGGACCAGGAGGAGGCTGGCGCTTAGAGTAGGCGAGCTGCTTGTACTCATGTGTTGATCCCATAGGCGTTTGTGATGTGAGATCATGTGCCTACGCAAAGCAGTTGTACCTAGGTGGGTGTTGGACTTCCCACGACTCAGTTTCTTTTGGCACAGGTTGCAAATGGCATCGCTGTTGTAAGAGGCAGACACACAAAAAACATGCCACACTGCTGAGCTCTGCAATGACGGCATTCTGGTGGTGGACACAGCATGCGTTGATTGGCGTGCTGTCGGGCTGACCCAGGGTGCCGATGCATGCTGTCTGACTGTGCCACTAGCTCCTTGCGACGACCTCCCCATGCTTCCAACTCGTCTCCTCCTCCTCCTCCTCCCTGTCTCCACATCTGAACTTTCGCCCTGTTCTTCTTCTTGCCGAGCGGGCACCCACGTGACATCCATGGACGCATCGTCATCATCAACCGCTTCACTTGTATCTGACAACTCAGCAAAGGAAGCAGCAGCGGGTACAACATCATCATCATCATCACACCGTACGTCCATGTGTGTAATGCTGCCTGCCTGACACATATCCCTGTTATCTACATCCTCTGGCAATAATGGTTGCGCATCACTCATTTCTTCCAACTGATGTGTAAATAACTCCTCTGACATACCAAGTGAAGCTGCTGTGGTGCTAGTGTTGGTGGTGGCGGCAGGCGGGCAAGTGGTAACTTGAGAGGTGCCTGAAGCTAAGCTGGAGGAGGATGGTGCTTCAAGGTTCTGAGCGGAGGCTGTAGAAGATTGGGTGTCCTGTGTTAGCCAGTCAACTATGTCCTCAGAACTTTTCAAGTTCAGGGTACGTGGCCTCTGAAAACTGGGCATTATTCTAGGGCCAAAGGAATCACAGCACCACGACCACGATGGCCCCTGCGGGGTGGCCTGCCTCTGCCTGTCATTTTTGTTGGGATTAGTGGTACTATGCGTGCAAGCTACTGTGAGACCAGATATGAGTGGTAATGTGCACTGGCACAGTTGTGCAGAGCACAGGCTGTAGGCCTGACACCCGCTTGAAGATAACTAACTGCTATTCAATCTATAACAGTGAAAAAAAAGTTTTTTGTTTTTTTAAATCCAAGCTATTGTGACACCAGATCTAATTAGTGGCACTGGTCAGCGTATCCACTGTTAGCGTAACACACCCGCTTTAAGGACACTGACTGCTATTCAATCTATAACAGTGAAAAAAGTGTTTTGTTTTTTTAAATCCAAGCTATTGTGACACCAGAACTAAGTGGTGGCACTGGTCACCGTATCCACTGTTAGCGTAACACACCTGCTTGAAGATAACTAACTGCTATTCAATCTATAACAGTGAAAAAAGTGTTTTTTTTTTAATCCAAGCTATTGTGACACCAGATCTAAGTGGTGGCACTGGTCACCGTATCTACTGTTAGCGTAACACACCTGCTTGAAGATAAGTAACTGCTATTCAATCTATAACAACAGTGAAAAAAGTTTTTTGTTTTTAAATCCAAGCTATTGTGACACCAGATATAAGTGTTGGCACTGACTGGGGAAATGGGCACAGTATGCACTGTGAGCCTGACACAGAAGCTGGCAGCAGTGGCAGACAACTGACTGCTATTCATTCTATAACAGTGAAAAAAGTTTTTTGTTTTTAAATCCAAGCTATTGTGACACCAGATGTAAGTGGTGGCATTGACTGGGGAAATGGGCACAGTATGCACTGTGAGCCTGACACAGAAGCTGGCAGCAGTGGCAGACAACTGACTGCTATTCAATCTATAACAGTGAAAAAAGTTTTTTGTTTTTAAATCCAAGCTATTGTGACACCAGATGTAAGTGGTGGCACTGACTGGGGAAATGGGCACAGTATGCACTGTGAGCCTGACACAGAAGCTGGCAGCAGTGGCAGACAACTAAGTGCAATTACATTACATAGAAAAAAAAATTAAAAAAAAAGCATACCCTAACCCTAACCTAGCTATGCTTTTCCCTATCTAATGAACAGCAGCTACACTTTCCCTCCTCTTACTAAAGCATGCAGCTTGAGAATGAATCTAAAATGGATGCCTTCCAGGAGGTGGGAGGGTCTGCTAGGGAGGGTGTGCTGCTAATTGGCTAGAATGTGTCTGCTGACTGTGAGGTACAGGGTCAAAGTTTACTCAATGATGACGTATAGGGGGCGGGTCGAACCGCGCATATGTTCGCCCGCCGTGGCGAACGCAAACATGCTATGTTCGCCAGGAACCGTTCGCCAGCGAACCGTTCGGTACATCACTAATGCTTGACAACTTTCTCCTGATATCACTATTGAGACTATCAATAGCTGTTCAACAAGCATGAGTCGTTCATTATATACATATGCTGACACATATTTTCTCTGGATCAGTGTGTCCAAGACCAAGCTCACACAGACATATATGAATATAATATCCAGCATATATTTGCTTCTGTCTCTGCTTGTCTATAGGTTCTATTCTCATATTGTTAGGATTGCTTTGGATGCCACCCTCTTCCAATATGTTTCAAACCCTTTGCACCCGTGCACGATCGCGGACTAATGTCCTGTGTACCGGGTTACTATGACAAACCATATACATGCACGCCCCCTTGCATTCCAGCTATCTCTAAGTGAATCGCTAGAACGCACTCAGACTGCAGCATCACTTTGGACAGCTGCAATACTATCCAGTACTAGGTCAATTCTACCCGCCGAAATTAGCTATCAGCAACGGCAATCACTGGGGACAAAGGGTAAGTTACACATGTGTACAATGTTTTTCTAAGATTATATTTGTTATATATTCACTGGTTATGGAACCTGCACCTTATCCTGACGAAAGTTCGGACTGGGAACTGAAATGTTGTTTCACTAGGGCATACTGCTGAATAAAAGCTAAGTTATTTTTTTCATGTTACCAACAAGTCCTTGGAGTGCTATCTGTCTATAGTTTGTTGTAATTTTGCTGACAAGCACCGGGCTAATTTTATTTCTTATACTGGAGTGCAGGCATTGGATATATATATATATGCATATATATATATATATATATATATATATATATATATGTGACGAGACCAATCTCGCCACATTGCATTGGAGAAGCCTGGTTGCTCGCCTGCTGCCTTTGGACTATGGCCCCCTGTTAAAAGACATCTTTTTTACCTGCAGAAAAGCTTCATTTGTGCTTTTCTGCCTGGGGTTCGGTAGATTTGTTTGAATGTGTTATACCCCAGATAGGAATCCCATTAAACTGTATTCGTGTGGTCTGAGCGCCATTCACTTAATAATGTGCGCTCAGACCTGAGCTATCTGGGGATATGTTAAATGTATAGTTTTAATGTAAGGTGTCTTACCTGATGTATTTTAAAGTGTTTTACTGTCTTTGTGTCCCCATGTGCTCAATGGAGTCTGCCTCTATCCCTGGATAATTGGATTACTTTCCCCATTGTCCAGGATAGAGGGCTCTGTAAAACCTGTTTGAGCCAGATAGCCATGCTGCCAGCCAGGGTACAAAAGATACTTTTTACTAACTTTTGAACCCCTGGTCTGATTCATGCCATTTTTTAATATGTTGTTCCCCTGAATGGATTGATTTTGAATATGTAATTTTATGTGAATGTGATGTATGGTTTTAGAGTTATAAAAGTTGGGTAGAAAGTATGTTTTAACTGTATGTGTAATTGAGTTTCCTCTCAGGATAAGGGGAGGGAATATGTGGGATGTAACTGTGATGTGATTGGTTGTTTTATATCTCCCTGTGGGCGGTCCTGTATTTGAAAACACTGTAATAAAAACCAGGCTGGGTGTGCCAGCACCTTAGACCACTGCTTGACCCTCAACACAGAGCCTTGTCTCGTTCTTGGGAGGATTCACTGTATGCTGTTAGAGACTGATTGCCAGGAGTGTAAGCTGATTGTCTGCTTTTCCTGTTCGTCTGCTAGCAGCTATTTGGGAGGTTCCAGTTCGGGAGTTGGAATGCTATTTTGTATCCAGTTCGGGAGTTTGGTGTTCTGCAGTAGCTGTGCCTGTATCTCTGGAAAGGGGGCCGATCGCCTAAACGATTTTAACCCCCTGTGTGCAAAACGGTCCGTTACAATATATATATATATATATATACATAAATGTATACAAAAACAAATAAAACCGCTACATTGGGCCAGCGTTTGTGATTAAGTGGCTACTACAAAAGACTGGAAATACCACATTTTGAATACCCTGGGTTGTCTACATTTGAAAATGGTATGCCACGATGGGGTTATTTCACATTCCTGTGCTACTATATGGTCTCAAAAGGTAACACAGGCCCAGCAAACCAATCTGGCAAACTGAATCTGGCAAGCCCTATATTGACCCTGTAACTTTCCAAAACACCATAAAACCTGTAGATTGAGGTATTGTTATAATCAGAAGACTTCATTGAACAGAAATATGAGTGTTCTAAAATCAGTAAAACGTATTCCAACTATGAAATCACCAGGAAAAGTGCAGTTTTTGTGTAAAAATAAAAAAGGCAAAAAACAAAGAAAACCGCTAACTTTGGCCAGCGTTTGTGACTAAGCGGCTATTTCAAAAGTCTGGACATACCCCATTTTGAATACCCTTGTCTACTTTTACAAATGGTATGCCATGATGGGGTTACTTTTCATTCCTGGACTGCTATATGGTCTCAAAGGCAACATAGGCCCAGCAAACCAATCTGGCAAATTTCAATGTGCAAACATGGAAAAGGGGAAAGCGCTACATTTGACCTCTGTAAGTTTGATAAAGCCCATAAAACCTGTAAATTGCAGGCACTGTTCTACTCGGGAGATGTTGCTGAACACATATTTGGAGGTTTCTTTGTCAGTAACACATAACAGGAACTGAGAATCCATTTCAAAATACAATGTGAGAGAAAAATAACATTAAAAAAATAATTACTACCCAAAAGTTTGACAAAGACTGGTGGTAGAATTAGTGCATGGAAAGTGTTAAAATACCACTATTTAAAATATACCCTAGGGTGTCTACTTTTCAGAAATATAAGGTTTGATGGGGGTAAATTACATTGGCCGGCTTCAAAAATGCCCCAAATAGGACACGCGTGCATGATGACCAGCTGAGAAAATGTCAAGTTGGAAAACTGGAATGCACACCCTCCAAATAAGGTATTTTACCCGACACACCTATACATGGGTGGTATCACTGTACTCAGGAGATGTTGCTGAACACATATTGGGGTATTCTTTGTCAGTAACACATAACAGGAACTGAGAATCCATGCCTAAATTACAATGTAAAAGAAAAATAACCCCAAAAAACGACTACACAAAAGTTTGACAAAGACTGGTGGTAGAATTAGTACATGGAAAGTGTTAAAATACCACAATTTGAAATACCTTAGGGTGTCTCATTTTTAAAAAATATATGGTTTGATGAGGGTAAATTATATTGGCCGGCTTCAAAAATGTCCCAAATAGGACACAGGTGCATGATGACAAGCTGTGACAATTCGAAGTTGGAAGACTGGAATGTGCACCCTCCAAATAACATCTTTTAGCCCCCAGAGGCCCCAACACAACTTTACATGGGGGGGTATCACTGTACTTGGGAGATGTTTCTGAACACATATTGGCATGTTCTTTGGCAGTAACCCTTAAAGTTCTCCGTACATGTATTCTTAAATTGCTATGTGTGTCAAAAAAAATAATTTGGCATAGATTGGTGGTAAAATGGTTGCATGAAAAGAGTCAAAATAGAGTTTCATACCTTAGGTTGTCTTCTTTTAAAATATATATACATGTGTAGGGTTATTCAGGGATTCCTGACTGTTACGACACTCCCAGCATAAAGGAGTGAAACCGCCGTTTAGTGGATCTTCCCCCTTTGGAGCAACCAGCGCCGTTACTGTAGACCGCCAAACTCCCGAGCGGAATGTAAGGTAATGCTACAAACTCCCGAACAGAGAATCATCTGAACTCCTTTTCTCCTAGAACAGGAAAAATAATACTCCCAAGTAGCAATCCCCCCAAACACAAGACCAAGCTCCGTCTTGAGGTAAAACAGGAATCTGCTTTAATGAGGGCTACCTGCCCTAACTGTATAACTGTATCTATAGTATTATTTAATAGTTTAGGATTAAACCTAGAGATAGCCTTTTAATGTATAAGAATAAAAATATCTCAGAAGCCCCTTCCTATAATTTTTAATTACAATAATAAAAATGGTTTTATTAAAAAAACAATAAATTTTTTTACTTATCCTAAGGTGGGGATTATACCACCCACGCTATCATCCGAGTGCAGACAGGCCTGCACTCCACTTGTGAGTATATTTTATTTTTACTTCAACCTATCTCTACATCGTGTCATCAGAGCGCACTATTGGTTGTTTTTATCTCTTTTTCCTTGAGAATTGGATACCATCACTCTCTGGAGGACAAGCATTCTTACATCCTACAAGCGGGGATTAATCAGCTGTATGCCTGTTACACCTGAGCTGGCCATAGCTCATTCGAATGTGAGTGTACAATTTATATTTTAATCTATTGACATCTATCTTATACACTCTACACCAGTGGTAGTCAACCTTTTTCCACTTACCGCCCACTAATGCATCTTTCTTGATGGAAAAATTTCCTTACCGCCCACCAGTTTTCGCGCAAGCGCGGAATATTTTTTAGAAAGGAGGGTGTTTTAAAAAATACATAAATGAACGTACATTTATCTTTTTATTTCTACTTTATGCATGTTTATAATGTTTTTAACTTTATAAAGTTTAATGAGGAAGCAATAAAGTAAATTGAACTTACCTTTACTAGAGGTTGATGCTGCGAGACTAAATATTTGATATCTGGTTCGATTTTCATAAGGAACAAACGAAGGTCTCCTCTTTCAGTGATAATCGGAAGACTTCTTTGTTTGCTCATAAAATGATTTCTCATCTGTGCGTCAGCTCCCCTCCTCTCCCTCCTCAATTCCCCTTCCCACCTTTTTCCCCTTTTTTCTATTTTTTAACCTTCCTTATAGCAATGGCCAATAGGAAGGCTGAGCTAGGTAGCCCACTTACTATTATTAGTCAACAACAATTCTCTCCTTTTCCTTTTCTTTCCTTCTCCTTTTTTACAAGTACTCTACTCCTTCTTTCCTCTATACTAGAAGTACTCTACTCCTTCTTTCCCCTATACTAGAAGTACTCTACTCCTTCTTTCCCCTATACTAGAAGTACTCTACTCCTTCTTTCCCCTATACTAGAAGTACTCTACTCCTTCTTTCTCCTATTCTACAAGTACTCTGCACCTTCTTTCTTCTATTCTACAAGTACTCTGCACCTTCTTTCTTCTATTCTACAAGTACTCTGCTCACAGACAAACACATACACACACACACACACACACACTCACATAGAAACACATACACACAAATATACACATACTCACACATGCACTTACAGACACTCACACATACACAGACAGACCCACAGACACACATACACTTACAGACACAGACACATACACTTACAGACACAGACACATATACTTACAGACACACACACACACATACACTTACAGACACACACACATACACTTACAGACACACACACATACACTTACAGACACACACACACATACACTTAGAGACAAACACATATACACACAAATTATTAATATTAAATATCCACCCAGCCTCCCTACCTGGAGAGCTGGTGTGGATCTGTCCCTGGGGTCCAGTGGGGCTTCACTTAGGCGGGCGGCTAATCAGACGCAGCGAGGGAGCTCTAACCTCTCTGCTCTGCTCCCTCGCGGACTGTCTACGGATGCCGGGAGCCGGAATATGACATCATATTCCGGCTCCCGCGGCATCAGCAAACATCGCGCGAGGGAGCAGAGCAGAGAGGTTAGAGCTCCCTCGCCGCGACTGATTAGAACGCTGCCATGCCGGGGGGTCCAGAAGGTGGCCTGGCAGGAGGGAGCGCTTCCTCCTGCCGGTCACTGAAGACTTGCGCATGCAGAGCCGCTCGCGCCCGCCCAAAAGGAGAAATCCTCTTAAAAAGAGGATTTAGCCTCAGAAATCCCTACCGCCCACCTGGAATCCTAAAACGCCCACTAGTGGGCGGTAGGGACCAGGTTGACGACCCATGCTCTACACGATTGGTCCTTTCTCATTGTGTCTTTTATATCGCGAGACGATCTACTTCAAACAGAGAAGATATCCTACAAGCTGAAACAGCAACTAATAATATATAATCTCTGATATATATTTGGACTGTTTTATACATATATATTTATTTATTTTATTTTTTATATATATTTTATATATTATATATTTTTTATCTGTGTATTTTTTACTATTTATTATTTTTCTTGGTGCAGCCTTCCCTTGCTTTTGTTGTACACTTTTATTGTAGAGGGTTAGAGGGTGACCCTCTGTTAGGCCGCTGCCTTTTATATTACTAGCGCTAACCTACCTCTCTATCTTTATAGGTATGGGTTAGCACTTTGAATTTACTCCTATAGGATACAGGAAGGCAATGCGAGGACTGGACAGAGGGGTGAGGTGTGAGAGGACCGACAAGAGAGGAAAATCAGTCTGGTGGGAGCATTCATTACAGACTGTAGCTGGGAAATACGGCTTTTTGGAAGACCGATTAGGGGAGGGTTACAATAATCCATGCAGGAAATTACTAGAGCATGGACATGCTTGGTAGCATCCTGTATAGTACAAGATAGTAGCCATGGCCAGGAGCCAAGAATGGAGCACAAGGACAATCCAAGAGAGCAGTCTGAAACACAACCTGAGATTTGTAGCCAGTAATTAGGAGGTTAACTGAACAAGTTACTTTATGCCAACACAAACTGAGGATGCAAGGAACTCGAGGTTAGAAATGGCAAGGCAAGCCAAGGGCACCTCAACACAATGTAGCTAGCGATGGGCAATGGTTAAACATGTAATTATTGTTTAAATCAACTTAAGTCAATTAGATATTGAATCATGACATGACACATTGGTCTGAATTATTCTTAAATTCTCACAGAGGAACAACCATTTTTTTCTATTAACTTTGATGTAGGCATTTGGTAGCAGGACTGGTGCCATCCCTCATTTAGCCTGCTGCTGATTTCTTTGTCCACAATTGATTTTAAATTATTTTACTTATATACAGTTTTTGCCAGGATAGGCTTAGCTTCTTTCAACCCAACACAATCTATGCACACAATCTATGCAACTCTTTATCTGCCCTAGCAATGTTAGGCTGGAAATCACAACAGGGTCTGGAAACCCTTATGCTGCCATGAACTTATGCACTAACACTTTCTGCTTTCCTTTATCTCTGTAATCAGCTGCTGGGAATACTCAAAGACGTCACAACATTTCAAATGAATAGAGATGTCGCGAACTACTCGCCGAACTGTTCGTGATCTGTCCGCCGGCGAACAAAAGCGTGTTCGCGTTGGGCGAACATATACGATTTCCGGTCCGCCCCCTATTCGTCATCATTGAGTAAACTTTGACCTGGAACCTCACATTCAGCAGACACATTCCAGCCAATCAGCAGCAGACCCTCTCTCCCAGGAAGTGTCTGCTGACTGTGAGGTTCCGGGTCAAAGTTTACTCAATGATGACGAATAGGGGGCGGACCGGAAATCGTATATGTTCGCCCAACGCGAACACGCTATTGTTCGCCCACGGAATGTTCGCGAACAGTTCGGCGAGTAGTTCGCGACATCTCTACAAATGAATTATCAATTATCAATATGCATTCAAAGGTTTTAATGCATAGTATAGAAAAAGAGGCACTTCCCAAACTAATGGGAAGTACCAGTCAAAGAGGGTTATAAGGGTGGCAAAATGGGCATAACCCAGCGTAAAGCACAATAGAGGGAGAAAAGATGAAGGAAATGATCAACCCTCCTTAAGAAAAGGGGGGGGTATGATCACCTTCAAGCCACCCCAAGAAATAGCGTCTCAAAAATAAAAATAATAAACAACTTTAATAAAAATGAGGAAAAAAAACACCACACACAAAAGTGCAGAATAAAGTAAATAAAATAAATGGATATAAAGGGTCTAGTGTCTGAGGAATGTAACCAGACTCGCATAGATCAGTATATATACATTGTATCGAACTCACTCATAACAGAGTGGTAAATATATAAAGTGACTAATATCTTGCACTAGACCCCACAGGATAAACACTAATGTATGGAAATCGAAAGGATAGAGAAGGTAAATAAGTGAGAGTGAAAAATAAAGTGGAAATAACCTAACAAAGGTATAGTACAACAGCTTGAAAAGGTTATATCTAACCACCAGGTAACTCACTAGAATCTATCCCTATAACAGCGAATGTTCAGAGCAAAAAGCAGCTCAAAAATCGGTGTAGCATCCTGGTATCCAAAAAATAAATTAAAATGAATGGATATAAAGGGTCTAGTGTCTGAAGAATATAGCCAGACTCACATAGATCAGTGTATATACTTTGTATCAAACTCACTCATAACAGAGTGGTAAATTTATAGAGTGATAAAAAAAAAGTGATAAAATAAACCGCAAATACCCCCCCCCCCGCCACTATTTAAATGTCTTTCCATACATTGTGATTGGTGGAATCGCCGTGCTAATTAGCAAGCAAAAACGCGCATGTCAGAGGAGAGACATGCGCATGTGCATCCAATATGTCTTGTTTACGGGGTTGCGCATGTCCGAAAAAGTAAAGGGAGATGAATGCGCATGTCCGCCCACCGGCGGACACGCATGCGCAAAAGATTCCTGTCTACCCGAGAAATCTCCTAGATCATGCGCATGTCCGCAGCCTAATTGCCGCGCAGGCGCAAAGTATCTGAGTACAAAGTGAACTAAATCTATACAGATTGCTCGGTATAAACAGGAAAATATATATCTATAATAGATAATAGCTAAAACGATAGAACTATGTGGAGGAATAAAAGAAATGTTATTCTGAGGGATAGGGTAAAGCGGAGGACAAATTAGAAACAGTAAATAAATCCACAAAGATGGTTGGACTTATCCAACCCAATCCATATTAGTTTTATAGTCAAAGAGACTAGATAATGAAATATAGAACATTCCACACCGGCTGGAAATGATCAAAAGGTATGTATAGAGATTAAGTAGTGAGATGTATAAACATATATACATATATGTACTAGATTAAAGACACCAATAAATATAGTTAGCTCTATCTTAATGTATAATTCAATTTAAATTATTTACATATTTACATATAAAGAGAGAACATGTCCAGATATGTATATATATATAGAGCCCTACATATATATAATTTAGAAGCCCTTAAACCATCTGGTTTAAATGAGAAGAACTCTTTATATTGTTTTTTACCTAGAAGATAATATATGATTGAGCTATGTTTTACAGAATGCATTAATATAATACAGTTATTTGCCGTAACTCCATGATGGAAATAGTCCATGTCGTATATTGCTTCATAATTACACTGACAATATTTTGCTATATAACTGAGTTAATATTTAGCTAATGATGATATGTACTATGTATCTATGTTACCTTGGTTAGGGTTGAAACATTTGTATATACTTTATTTTTATAGTTATTTATCTTTTATTACTTTCTGACTTATCTACACGAGAGTATGTTTCACATACCGGTTACACATAGGGTTAACTTCAATTTATTACGTAATTCAAACATGTCTACGTCATTAATGACATCACTCTGATCCGTTGTTACATTTCACCTGTTCACCTCCAAATAGGATCACTGCATTTTTTGTATATAAGGTATCAATCTCACATACACAATTGTCTTGAAAAAAGTATTTTTACAGACTGAAACATTGACTGGAACGTTGTGTGAATTTGTAATTGCTCAATAAAGCAACAGATGAAATTTACCTTGAAAGACTCCGGAGTGCTCGCTACTGGTATTGTATACAATTTGGTTGGAGACAGCACCGGAGCATTAAAAGACCGGGAGCATTGAGTGCTGGGACCTTGGACGTATATATATATATATATATATATATATATATATATATATATATATATATATATATATATATATATATATATATATATATATTAGTAAAAATGAAAATGAAAATCCAGCGCACTCACTTATCTACTAAACAGTTATTTTAGTGCTGAACCATTTTGTTAGTTTTACTAAAAACACCTAATCTAGGCAAAAAATAATGGGGGATTAGTTACAGTATATGATCATACACTGCCGCAACGCCAATGTACCCCATCTTTGGCAGGTCCTACTCTGTCTGCTAAATGAGCTACTCACTTGGGGAAATCCTTCCATCTCGAGTTCTCTGCAGTACAAGGCTTAAATAGGGTGCTGAGATGAGGCACCTGTAACAGGGAGGGGTGCAAAACCACGGAGCTGGCTAGACTCCTAAATATATACATATAGGAGAAAACAAGGGTTTGGCTGCACTCACCTAAACATACTTAAATGGGGTGCAACCTTGAAAAATATCCGCAGGGGTCGAAACGTTGGTTGTCTTTATTTTGCACATGATTGAATAAATTACTTTTTTTGTTCAAGACCTGAGAGTGCACCCTGGATATTTTTTGTTTATATAACGGACTCATAGTGGATTGCACCCGGGCAGCTATTTAATTTTGGAATACAAGGAAGGAGAGTGCCAAGCTATCTATTTTTATTTTATATATCTATATCTCTGTATGTCTAGGGGAATATTCACTAAGTATTGCATATGTCAAACAATTTGTTTCCATCAACCAATATAAGCTGTAAAAACTCAGTAGTGAGCTAATAATTTCTCAAAATGTTGTGATGTAACAGCTAATAGTCTTAACATGTGTGTAATATTGCAACTTTATGTGCTAACTATATATATAAAAATGTTAAGGTATACACTGATCAGTCGTAGCATTAACCACTCTGGCAGGTGAAGTGAATAACATTGATTATATCATTACAATGGCACCTGTCAAGGTGTGGGGTATGTGAGGCAGGAAATTGAATAGTCAGTTCTTGAATATCATGCATTGGAAACAAGAAAAATGGGTCTGAGTGACTTTGACAAAGGTCAAATAGTGATGGCTAGAAAAATGGGTCACAGCATCTCCAAAACAGCAAGTCTTGTGGGGTGTTCCTGGTATGCAGTGGTTACTACCTACCAAAGGTTGTGCAAGTAAGGTGAACTGGCATTAGGGAATGGGTGCCCAAATCTATGCACTTGGGTAGCAAAGGATAACCCATCTGCTCTGAATACACACTGTAGGAATATCTACGGGAAAATGCAATTTTAAAAACGAACATTTTATAAAAAAATTCAAAAAATCTTTACATTTATTTCAATGATTTAAAAAAAATAATAATTGGTACTGTAATGTCCCAATATAATTAGTGTAAAGGAATGCCTACTATTTAATCCTTTTAAAACCTTTTAAGTCTGTGTAGCGGAGCTGCAATATTAAATCCCAAGATCTCCGCTGGTATAGAAGGTAATCCAAAGTAAAGCACTGGAAAAGAAGGCAATATCCCAAATCCCCCAGTAACCGGACGAAACACACTTCATGGAGTCAACTGACAATTTTATTCACGGCTGTTAGCCTATGCATGCTCTCTATTCTAAAACACACAAATACATTTTTAAACCAGGTTAACACAGCTATTTCAGACAACCTTTAAATGTTCTGCAATATGACCTAAAGTGGCTAGGTTTGCCACAGTCTGTATTTAGTTACTATTTCTATTTCACACAAATATAAAACATATAATTTATTATTATCCACTGACTGAAAGTTGCCCAATTTCTCACAGCGATACACGCTTTTTGCATATTGTTTCCTCATGCCACACAAGAAGTTATACTGAGAGCAGAAGCCCCCAACTCACACTATGCCAGGTTGGACCCACTACTCTAGGCTTCCAGGTCATATAGGCCCACGCAAAGAGACACTTGTTTGGGGGTACCCGCTTCAGAGCATAATTATATCGAGACACATTAAGCTCTCTGGCACTGCCTTATACCCCTGCTGTGTCCTTGACATTTTATCTTAACCCAAAATACAAAAAAAAAATTGAAAAAATCTAAAAATAGCAAAACTAAATATAATAAAACAAAAAAACTGAAAAAACCCTTAAAACAGCACCACACATAAATTACTAGTTGGTACCTAGAGCAACCCTCTGGACATGCTATATCCCAAGTGCTTGTTATTCATCCAATGAACCGAGTATCCCTCTGTTTGCCACAGATATTTCATGACTATATGGCTAAATATAGTCTTTCTCTTAGCACTCCCACTTATATTGTATCTATAAATACCAAAGGGTTAAATTCACCCAACAGATGTAGATTGGCGCTTGGTGAGGCCAAACAATATAGAGCCCAGGTAGCTTTTTACCAAACGATCTATTTTAAATAGGGACACAGACCAAATTTTCCTAAACCCAATTTCCCCATGATGTTCACTCCTGTTTCAAAAAGAAAAAGAGGAGGGTATCCATCCTTATAAGCAGTAGTGTCTACTTCACGTTAGTTAAAAAACAATCCGTGACAAACATGATAGGTACCTTTTATTACAAATTTTACGTGAATAATGAACCTGATACATTTGTTGCCTTGTATGGCCCACATACTAACCAAGGTCAATTCCTGGATAAAATAGAAACATAGAATGTGGTGGCAGATAAGAACCATTTGGCCCATCTAGTCTGCCCAATTTTCAAAATACTTTCATTAGTCCCTAGCCTTATCTTATAGTTAGGATAGCCTTATGCCTTTCCCACGCATGCTTAAACTATTTACTGTGTTCACCTCTACCACTTCAGCTGGAAGGCTATTCCATTCATCCACTACCCTCTCAGTAAAGTAATAAAAGAAAAAATCTTTGCATTAATGATCTCCTATAAGTTCGCCAATGTTGTAATGGGGGGGGGGAGAACACTAACTTTCTTTTGAATAGTTGCCTTGACTCCTCATCCGCTAACACAGTAACCCCTAAAACAGCTAAGAAAGCAGCACTCCATAGGTGCATACAGATATTACAACATGACTACTTAGACGCATGGATAATTTTACAACCTACAGAACACCTTCCATTTGCAAGCTCAAAACACTTATACCAGGATCGACCGGGTTTCTTACACCCTGCTCCATTATGCACAAGATCATAGAGGTCACTGTAGGTCTAATCTCGTGGTCTGACCATGCCCCTGTGGTGTTGTCCCACAAACATTTTCCTTACACAAGGAAGGGAACATGGAGGCTTAATGATACCATCCTTAGCAACCCAGAGAGAGCCTACCGCTTCGCAAAAAAACACAAAGGACCAAAAATTAAACTACACTCATGCAAAAATTGACAGACCTGACACACTTAAACAAAACCACCCCTCTCACACTCTGAAAATGCAACTCTTAACACTCTAATTTAAGCTGCGGGACCTAGAACTGGAAAGAAATGACCATCTCCTGAGGTGATACAAATACAATTTCTTTGCCCATGGGTACAAAGCGGGGGCACTTTTGGCCTCCCAAATTAAAGCATGTATGAGAAATGCAAAAATCACCTTTCTTCAACCTGAGTCAAACAAAAATGTTTAAATCCACAACATATAGTCAATAAATTTGCGTCATGCTATAGCACATTAGATAATATCAAAGATAACCCACATTCTAAACTCCCTACAATACAAGACATACAATTTTTCCTGTCCAGGGTGTAAACCTTCCTAAATTGACCCAAATAGACATAGCGCACATAACTAAACCCTTCAACACTATATAAGTGAAATGAGCAATACAGCAATTACCAAAACACAAGGCACCAGGATCGGATGGATACACAAACTTATAATATATCACCAATACACACCCCATCAGACAGACCTTTTTATTACCAACTATTCAAAGGGTGCACTCCTCAGTAATATGCTATTAACAAATATTACTGCATTGCCTAAACCATGCAAACCTAAAACTCTATGCAAAAAGTCTGCGAACCGACTACCATACTTCCTAACATCACACACAATGGGACAATCTTGGTTTGTCAAGGGAAGGCAGGGCTCTGAAAACACCAGGGAACTTTTAAACATTCTATCGCACATACATTGTATTAATGGCGAGGGCCTTCTTCTGGCACTAGATGCAGAGAATTCCTTTAACAGATTCAATTGGCAATATATGGAACAAGTGTTGCTATCTTTTGGCTTCTCCCCAGGATTTATATAACAAACCAGCAGACCAATTCACTAATGCAGGTTTCCTTTCTACACCATTCTGTATTTCGAATGGTACCAGACAGGGGTGCCCCCTCTTCCCCCCTCCTATTCATACTGTCCTTGGAACCACCGGCAAACAAGATAAGATATCATACATAACTTAAAGGCATCACTGTGGATAGTGGATACAGAATCCATATGGGGCGAACCTGGTGCTCTGGAAAAGATATATCGACGATGTTTTAATTATTTGGGAAGGTGATTGCTGCTTGAAGAATTTTTACTGTATATTAATTCTAATTTCTATGGACTACGTTTTACCGCTGGAATTCAGACTCAGACCCAGACCATTAACTGTTTAGATCTGTCTTTCTTCGTGTCCTCAGGAGTCGTCTGTAGCAAAACATATTTTAAACCCTCAGATGGCAATAGCTTTATAGAATTTTCAATCTGTCACCACCCAAATTGGCTGAAAAATATACCAAAAGGCCAACAGACAAGACTCCTCAGGAATTGCACAAAGAAGGCAGATTTTAACGAACAGGTCAAGATTTTAAATAAAAAGTTTGAAGATAGGCATTACCCTCCTCAACTGTTGAACAAATCTAAAAAAGAGACAGACAATAAGGATAGAACTCAACTTTTAAAGAATTCAAAAAGTAAAAATAATAAAAAAAAATCCTGGAAAAATAAACAGAGATTTTAGTACTTCCTTTATTACAAGATACAATAATAAGGCACATCAGATAGAGAGAATTATTAGGAAATGTTGGCCCATTTTAAAACAAGATCATTTTTTAAAAATATTTTATCGACTAAACCACAGATTATTTACAAAAAAAATACAACATTTAAAATCCATTCTAGCATCTAGCACTTTACCCCGCATCAAATCTTCTAATGAAGCCACTACTTCAAGTAATGATGCTGATAATTTCCTTAGGGAAAAGCCAAAAGGGTTTTTTTAAATGAGGGCACTGTAGCACATGTAAATTTCAAAACCAAAAAACAATGGAATTTAAATGTACCGAACTAAGGAGATTTTTAAAATGAAACATTTTATAAATTGTCAGACAAGGAATGTCATTTATCTTGTTGAATGCAAATGTGGCATTCAATATGTGGGACGTACGATAAGGAAACTACATGTTAGAATCCTGGAACATTTTAATGGCATTAAAAGAGGAAATATAAAACACAGTGTCCCTAGACACTGTATAAACTGCCCTGATTTTGATTTCCAGGATTTTAAATGTATAGGGATAGATGCTATTAACCCCCACTGGAGAGGAGGAGATATTGAGAAAGCTTTAGCTATGAAAGAAACAGAATAGATACATAGCCTTAAACCTTTCTCCACTAGTGGTTTAAATGTGGATATAGATCTGTTGGTTTTTACGGATTGATCGATTATGCACATATTAATGTTTTAAATGTTTTACATTTTTCAAATTTAGTATTCTTGTAGGAAAGACGGGAATTTAATTTAAGAAATATATATATATATATATATATATATATATATATATATATATATATATATATATCTCCGGTCCATAGTCAAAAGGCAGCAGGCAGGCAACCAGGCTCCTCCAATGCACAGTGGCGAGATTGGTCTTCTCACACTCATCCAGGGTAGGAATAGCTGTATTAGAGAATTCAAAAGGCAAGACCATTAGTCACATAGATTGGACTAAGGCCAGATGAATCATAAGTAGCGTTATTACTTGCAAATTCAGCCTTGGGCATTGTTAATAAAAAATCTCAGACACCCCTCTAGAGACTGGCTCTCTCAGCACCACCATTAGTTTGTTGATGCTAAGAAGATGAAAAGGACAATTCTATGCCCAGTTGCTTACAAGGCCCTCCAGAACTTGGAGACAAAATGGGTACCCTTGTCGGAGACAATATTTTGAGGTATACCATGCAACCGAACTATCTCTTTGATGAGCTTAAAGGCTAGATCTTGTGAGGAAGGCAATTTTTTAAGAGCGATAAAATGTTTTGGTAAAACGTTCAACAACCAAAAGTATGTTGTTATAACCATTAGAAACATAGATATATGAGACCACGGAATAAGTGGTATAGGCAGAGGTTGTAATAACCCACATTTTAACTGATGTGGGACTTTGGAGACAGCACATTTTTGGCAAGCATTAACATATGCGATAACATCACATCTGAGAGAGGGCCACCAGAACTGTCTGGTAATAGCTGATATAGTTTTGCGTATGCCAGGATGACCAGCCATTACATTATCATGGTAGGTAGGGGTTAAGTTAGGGATAGGGGTATGGGTAGGCGTAGGGTTAGGGGTATGATTAGGGGTAGAGTTAGGGTTAGATTCCTGTCATCATTCCATTAATTTTCCCTCTCTCTCCTGTTATGCCACTTTTCAGAAATCTGAAGCACTTTGGCAATTTGGTTCGGTTCGCAGCATACAAATGTCCGAATTGCCGAAATTCGGCCGAATTTACATTCGGACCGAAACGAATTGCACATGTCTAATGCAAATGCATAAACATATGAACACCTATACATACACATAAACACCTATACATACATGGATTGCAGAAAGGGGTGCGGGGATACAGCGCCTGTAGAATTCTTCTCAGATCCAGTGATATATAGAATGAACAAAGAAACGTAATATAGTGTAGTATATTAAAAATCTTGGTGAAGTAAAGATAACAATAATGCACTTACAATTTTCCGGAGCTTATGTTCAGCTCCAGATTGATGTGCATGGAAGGAAAAAATCCCCATCTGTGGATATAATGGTAGATCCAGGTACTTCTTGGTGAGTTTTTTGTTCTCAGGCTGTGAATGTTGTACCACTGGTTGGCAGTCAGATATCCTCCGTATACAGGGAAGATAAAAACAGACTATAGTGCTCTCTGTATGTAATGAGCTGATTTAAAAAAAAAAAAAAGTAATAAAATATACTCACAAACAGAGAGCAAATACAGGTATTGCTCAATCCTATAAGGTTTGGGTGGTATGATCCCCACCGAGGATGTTCCTGTGAGAATCTTCAGGATAAAATTCCAGGATAAAAAAATGCCAGGATAAAAAATATATATTTTTTCATAGATAGGTCTAGAGTCTCCAAAGCAGTATATAACAATAAGCTTTATTTGGAGATAATAAAAGCTATAACATTGATAATAACACTAACGCGTTTCTCCTTTAACAGGCTTTTTCAAAGTGTTTACAGTGTGTGAGACCTATCTTGTTTAAATAGCTTAAAAACAGGTGATGTGGTTGGTCATGTGACCAGAAGTTAATTAGTTAAAACATTGTATACAGTAAAATATAAACCAACGATATTACACAGAAATGTAGATAGCATTCTAATAAAATTTAATTTGTAAGGTGGCTTTTTAGAAAGGGGAAACCAAGATGGCCACAAGCAATTACCATAATGGGAGCATAAAGATGGCCACCGCCAGTATAAGTAAATGAACTGGCTTCAAAAGATAAAATAAAAGTAAGGAACTTGAGGGGGAAGTGGGGAGGAGAATGTGATGTATCTCCCCTTAAAACGAGCTTTGTAGCCTCAAAAGAAACCATTTTGCTAGGGATACTAATGCGCATCCATGGACCTGCCCACATGAAGGCTTATGGGGAATGTAGTAGAGGGAGAGTGAAATACATAGTCCCGCCCATGTGACCCGCCCATGTGATCGGCATGGGCTGTGACATCATCATGAGGGATGAGGAGAGCTGGAGGGGAGGAGATAGGGGACTGGAAAGCAATGTATGAGCTTCCTAATGGCAGAGGCATTATGGGGAATGTAGTATAAAAACGGACAAAACTAAATACAGATTAAATAAGGATAAAGCATAAGGATGAAACTAAAAGGCAATATAATGAAATAGAGAATAACAAAAAGCAAAGGAAATACAGTATAAAAAGGCAATGTGAATCAAAATAAAAAATATTAAAAGGCAAAGGAAATCCAGTATAAAAAGGCAAATGGTATTACAAATAATACTGCCATAAAAAGCAAAATAACAAAACATATAAAAGACCAATGGTAGTACATAATCCTCAAAAATACAGACTAAAACCAGAAGGTAAGATAAAAGACATATAGTGAAAAATTTACGAGAAATTAATAAGGTCAAAATCGGCATTTAACCCTCTGGGAGCCATGGTGTCTAATGTGAAAACCCAATTCATTTCACTTCTACCTAGTAATTTCGGAAGGTTAGCCCCTCGCCATGGGAGAGAAACGTATTCTATAGCACAAAATTTTAGGTGCTTAGGGTCTTTATTATGGATTAGGAAATGTTTGGACACCAAGTGGTTTAAAAAGCCAGTTTTTTTTTTATATTTCTGCAATGTTCTGCAATACATGTTTTGAGGTTCCTAGTTGTCATCCCTATTGTAGTTTACATTGACATTCTAAAAGGTAAATCACATTTTTAGAGTTACAAGTAAAACAATCTTTTATATTGTATGTTTTTTGAGAGTGTTTTGATTTAAACCCAAGAGTTTTGGTGTTCTCAATATTGGTGCTTTTACATGCCAAACATCTTTTGCAATTATAGAACCCGTTTTGTTGGTTGAAAAAAGTGTGTTTTGCATGATTTTTCTTAGTGTAATTTTTGGTGAGACATCTCCTTAAATTGGGGGCCCCCCTAAATACTATTTTTGAATTTTCCTGTGGGATGTTTTTCAGAATCTCATCCAGTGGTTTTTAATTTTTTTTCCTTGCAAAACTTTTGTTCTTGTAATCTAACACAACCAGGAGGGTGATGTGTTTATCTTTGTGGGTGTTGTGATATTTCTGTCCGAAACCCCCTTTCAGTACTTTGATTTTTAGGTCCTTCACTAAGTGGCCAGGCTGGGAAAAGTGATGTCCCACAGGAGTGCAGTACCATCCTTCTTTGTGGTGTTTAATGGAGTGTCTGTGCATATTCATTTTGCCATTTAATTGCTGGGTGGTTTCCCCAATGTAGCAGCCTAAGTGGCATTTGGTGCATTTAATCATGTATACCACATTGCTGGATGTGCAGTATGAGTATGATCCTTTAATGCTTTTATTGTTGTGTATGGCTGTGTTGTCTGTGCACATGTGCTGACACAGTTTGTACCGAGGTTTTTTGCATTGACTGGTTCCGTTTTATTTATTCTTCCCATCAGTGGACAGCTCCCTGTTGATTAATTTGTGTTGGAGGTTTGATGGTTGTTTGAAGGTCAAAATGGGTGTTTCAGAGAAAATGTTTTTCAGAGACTCATCTTCTGTTAACATTGGTTCTAGGCCTTTGATGATCTTCTATATTTCTTAAAGAGCTGGGTTTTAGGTGACCACATGTGGCACTCGTGTAGATATTTTCTTTTTCTCTCTGTACTGTAGCAGGCACGTGTGTGGAGTTTTTACAGCAGAGTTGATTTGTTTGTTAATAGTCTTTGGTTTGTAGCTTTTCTGTCTCATAGATTGGGATGGGAATTATGGTCATTAGGATCAGAGCATATGTGATTGTACCTAGTGGCTTGGCTGTAGATGATGCCCTGTTTAGTATGGGATGGGTGGAAGCTGGTGCTGTGAAGGTAACTGCACCTGTCTGTGGGTTTTCTTTAAACCAAGGTGTGGATTGTGCCATTGTTACATGTCACAGTGGTGTCCAGAAAATTCACAGATCTAGTGAAATATTAAATTTTTAGTTTGATTGATGGATGGAATGTGTTAAAAGTGTAATGGAACTGTTTTTCTTTGCTTTCAGTCCAAATTATGAAGATATCATTAATAAAGCGATGTTTGGTTTGGTGCGCTGTATTTCTAGAAATCGCTGTTCAAGATCTGTGTTGTCTGTGCACATGTGTTCAGATTAACATATTGGGATGCCATCTTAATGCCCATAGCAGTGCCCATGGTTTGTAGGTAAACCTCATTGTTAAAACTGAAATAGTTATGTGTGAGGATGAATAGGGCCAGTTCTGTGATAATTCTGGGGCTATATTTTTGGTTGACAGCATAAGAGAGGAAATGGAAGCAAGCGTAATGTACAGAGATTCCACATCCATGGTTACAAGGATGGTGTTAACAGGGAGATTGATGATTTGGCTGAGTTTGTTTTATTTATATTAATAAATGAAGATGGGGTGCACTCAGAGGTCTTAAAAAAATTAATTGGTGTTAATTCACATCACAAAATAAAATAAGTGTCTGATCGACGTTTAAACCAATCTGGGTCTTATTCAAGATTCATTAGATCGCCATTGGGTGAGAGCGAAGATCTTTTGGGATATATGTAAATATATGCAATAATAATTATATTTAAATGTAAAACATAAGTATATTTGTGTTTTCTTGGTTACAGACAGTGAAAACTGCATGCAATGCACAGAGTATGAATGGCCAAACATGAAGCAAGATCAATGCATTCCCAAATTAGTTGAGTTTCTCTCCTACTCAGAAGGTGTGTTGGCCATTATATTGGCATCAGTCTCAGTTCTGTTTTGCTTTTTAACCATATTAATAGCATTCATTTTTATTTCACACTGGGAAACACCAATTGCTAAAGCCAATAACAGGATCCTAAGCGTAATTCTCCTTGTCTCCATCATGGTGAGCTATCCCTGTGTGTTTTTATTCCTTGGACGTCCTGTGGATATAACCTGCATTCTCCGCCAAATATCTTTTGCAATCATCTTCTCGGCAGCCATGTCATCTGTGTTGGCCAAAACAATCATGGTTTATATTGCTTTCAAAGCCACCAAACCTGGCAGTGTGTGGAAAATGTGGATTGGAGTCAAACTGTCCACAACTCTATTCTTGTTCTTCTTCTCTGTTCAAGTTATAATTAGTATAATTTGGTTGACTATTTCTCCCCCATTTCGCGAGACAGACACCTATTCTTATGTAGGAAAGATCATCATTCAGTGTAACGAAGGCTCAGTTATTGCATTTTACTCTGTCCTGGGTTACCTGGGGATTCTGGCAGCTGTTAGTTTTATTGCAGCTTTTTTAGCCAGGACATTACCGGACACCTTTAATGAGGCCAAGAACATCACTTTCAGCATGCTGGTGTTCTGCAGTGTTTGGATTGCGATGATCCCAGCCTATCTGAGCACCAAAGGGAAATACATGGTGGCTGTAGAGGTTTTTGCCATATTGGCATCAAGTGCTGGACTCCTATTTTGTATATTTTTTCCAAAATGTTATATAATGATCTTTAGGCCAGAAATTAACACAAAAATTATTTGCTTAAGAAATGATGCATGATTTTTCTCAGTCTGAATGTTTAATGTTTTATTTGTGCCTCATAAATACATCAAGTTATGTAATACTTGTATATACATGCAGACGGTTTTGCTATGCTTCATATCTAATTAATGTTTTTTAATGTTACTAAATGTTTACATCTACATATCTGCATATTAATGTTCTTGCATCTCTAGTTAATAAGTAAAGTCTCCAGTAAATTTTGTGCACTAGATTCTCATACACAATGGACATTAACACATAACATTCATTACAAACCATAGAACTCACACTCAGCAATCATTGTAATATCACACACGTCATCTCACAAAACAGAACACAACAGACGTAGCAGATACACAAAATAGATACCCAGCAGACATGCCAATACAAAAAGCATATTCATTAACAGGCAATTAAAGCATAACCAATCCAAAATTAACAAAATAAGTAAATAAATGTCACACTCTGTGTCCCTCAGAAGAAACACAGTTAGACATAATGTAGGTTCCTATGCTTGTGATAGATTACAAATGCAGTCTTAAACTAACACCTCCAAAACTCCATTCTCATACTTAGGAGTAGAGTTGAGCGAACCCGAACTGAAAAGTTAAGTTTTTTGGACCCCGGCCCCGAGCACGGACATATCACTGTATGTTCGGGTTGGAGTTCGGTGTTCGGCAATTTAATGACGTGTTTTGAAAGGCTGCAGGGCAGCCAATCAACAAGCGTGTGCCCTTAGAAGCCATCACAGTCATGCCTACTAATGGCATGGCTGTGATTGGCCATTGCAGCATGTGACCCAGCTAGTAGAGGCATGTCTATTAAACAGTGAGCAGCCTGTGGCAGCCCTCTGTTGAAACCCCCCCCTCCTGAGCCCCCACCCGCGACGCGCAAATGGGGGCTTTTAAACTAATTGGGGGACCTATTGCCCCCCAGCCCCCACCCCTGAGCGGAGGGTGGGGGCCCTATATACCAATAAGGGGGGACATATTTCCCCCCTGGCCCCCACCTGTGAGCGGTGGGTGGGGGTGCTAAATAACAATAAGGGGGGGACCTATTGTCATACCCCCGGCCCCCACCCCTGAGCCGTGAGTGGGGGCCATAAATAAAAATTGACTTAGTAATGCTTTTTTTCTATACCTATAGAGAAAAAGACACAACTACTTCTCGCTTTTACTTTTGAAGGGTGTCAATATACGTCTACCCCAAGGCTATGTGGATTAACCAGCTGTTTATTCCCTGGTGCTCCAACATACTCTTAAGACATGGACATCCAGCCATGGTTCCGTCTTCCTTCAGTATGTCGACGACCTACTGTTGTGTAGTCCTAGTGTGGGTACTTGTACAGCAGATTCGCTCAGTCTGCTTAGACATCTGGCTGCAGAGGAACACAAAGTGGCTAAACACAAAATGCAATGGTGTCAACCAAGAGTGGATTATTGTAAACCTTCCCATCTTTATTCACGGGACAACTGTAAAACCATGGCTGCTGTCTGTGCACAAGAGCACGGAGGCGGTATGTGTCCCATAGCATTTTTCTCCAAAGTAGTTCCTATACCGGTACAGGGGATGCCGGCGTGTCTTTGGGCTTTGGCAGCATGCTCTATGGCTGTAGAGGGGGCCAGAACTGTTACCCTAGGCCACCCCACTATACTTCATACTTCACATCAGGTAATGCATTTAATAAAAAAATCTTACTACACAACACATGACTGCTCAATGCCTTACAAAATAATTCTGTTAAACACACAGAATCTTTCTATTGTTTATTCACCCATTACATCCGGCCCTTTGTCTATCCTTCATGCCATACTTACCGCCACTTAACATTCTATGGAACAGTATCCAGTGCCACACGATTGTATTTCACAAATCCATTTGATCACTTCTCCCCGCCCAGATTTGTCATCTTCTCCTTTAGATGGTGAGGTCGAGGATGTATTTGTTGATGGTTCATGTTCTCGCCCGAATGATGGCAAATACCATACTGGTTATGCTGTTTTCCAGTTACCTGACACTGTTCTCGAAGCCCATTCTATACCCCATCAATCAGCCCAAGCTGCTGAACTGGTTGCTCTTACCCGTGCCTGTCACTTATTTAAGGGTAAACGTGTAAATATTTATACGGATTCAAGTAATGCTTATGGGGTTGCACATGATTTTGGAGTCATTTGGAAACAACGAGGGTTTGTAGGAGCAGATGGAAAGAAATTTCACATACTAAACTAATACAGGAACTACTTGATGCAATACAACTCCTGCTGGAGGTAGCCATTATTCATTGTAGGTCTCATACTAATAGTAATGACACGATATCTAGAGGAAATGCTTTTGCTGATAAAATGGCTAAAGAAGTAGCTTTAAATACTATCTATCGTAGGGAACTCTCGCCAGATCTCATGATAACATTCTAATGCCCTTCTGAAACCCTTTTTACACACCTGCAGGAATTCGCAACAGAGAAGGATATTGCAAGGGTTAGAGAAAGATCAGTTCGATCTTTACTCTAAAGAGGGGAAGATAGGGATACCAGAAGCTAGTTCTCCAATCTTTATCTCTCAGGCTCATGGACCAGGACACAAAAGCATAGCCAATACTATACAATCTTTGACATTCTCTTTTTATATTCTCAATCTGAAACAACATGTAAAGGAGTTTGTTCAGATGTGTAAGATGTGTATACGAAGGAAGAAAAGAAACACCGCCTAAAGGATATAGATATAAGTATAAAAGATAAACTTTAATAGTGAACGAGATACAAAGTGGTTATTTTGTGCATTCACTCTCGGTACATCTGAGTATTTGCATACAGAGGCACCAAGAGATATTTGTGCAGAATTGTAAGATTTAAAAAGAGACAAACAACACTTAATTCAGTGAAGATGTCGTCAAAAAATATATCAATTATATCTACTGTAACATTTGTCTCGTGTTACAGTTAGTATAGAGTACAAATGTTACAGTAGATATAATTGAATTAGATCAAGCTCTAACAGATATATATTGTCTGCAGCTGCAGTCTCTACAGAATATTCTTATACACAAATTAGAAAACGAACAAAAAAGTACGATGGAAATTGGTCCATGTGTAGTGCACAAAGTGTGGGAGATGTATTGCTTTATTTCCATTTTATACAACTGCAACATAGTAAAACATATATATCTATATATAGAGTATTATTATGCAGATCTATGCTGGGTTCACCATATATAAGTTAAAGTGGTAAGTATGTCAGTTTCAACCCAGATTTATAACTGAAGAGTAACATATCTAAATAGATATAAAGTAGAGGACAATTAATTATTTAGAGATACAGCAGAGGGCGTTCTTAAAACTTACTGTCTCTGCAGTGTCTTATTGTCAAAAAATTTAATTTGCTTTTAATTATAAAAGCTCTCTCTTTTTCTTTTCTTTATTACCTGCAGTTAGCTCTCCTATCTGGTAGGTGCCCTTGAAGGCACAGCAACTATTTCTTCTTATCTACTTTTTCTTGGTATAACATTACTGGGGTGATATTTTAGTAACTAACCAGAGTAGGTGCTCTCTCAAGTAAAGGACATATATCCTAACTACAATCGTTTTCTAATTTGTGTATAAGAATATTCTGTAGAGACTGCAGCTGCAGACAATATATATCTGTTAGAGCTTGATCCATTGTAACAGAATACTCTATACTAACTGTAACACGAGACAAATGTTACAGTAGATATAATTGATATATTTTTTGATGACATCTTCACTGAATTAAGTGTTGTTTGTCTCTTTTTAAATCTTACAATTCTGCACAAATATCTCTTGGTGCCTCTGTATGCAAATACTCAGATGTACCGAGAGTGAATGCGCAAAATAACCACTTTGTATCTCGTTCACTATTAAAGTTTATCTTTTATACTTATATCTATATCCTTTAGGCAGTGTTTCTTTTCTTCCTTTTTTCAACTACATTTCGTTTAGGGTTAACCCCTTCACTGCCTCCACATTCTCTATACACTAGGTTTGTACTCTGTTAAGATGTGTATACGCACTAATCCACATATCTCTCCGAAACCATTACATGATCACTTGTACATTCACACATTTACAGATCGATTTTACACATATTCCCAAAACAAGGACTAAACAGCAATATTTATTGGTCATAGTGGACCAATTTAGTAGATGGCCTGAGGCCTTTGTGAAAAATAGAAAAGATGCAAAAACAGTAGTGAAAATCATTCCTCGAAATGCATGTCCTTGACAGATTAATTCTGAAAAATGGCCCTGCATTTGCAAGTAAAGTCACACAAAAACTTGCTAAATGGTTACAGGTAACATGGAAGTTTCACATACCATATCACCCTCAGAGCTCAGTGGTAGTGGAGAGATTGCATAAGACGATTAAAGAGAAACTTATGAAGGCAACAGCAGGTACGTGGGTACATTGGCATAAGTATCTTCCAGCCATTTTGGCCGAGATATGTATGACTCCCCACAAAGTGACAAAATTATCTCTTTTTGAGATTTTAATGGGAAGACCATTCCTCACACCGTGGGCCAGGGAACCATTGGTGATAATGCCTGGTGATTTAGAGTTAATTCAAGAACAATATGTTGTTGATAAAATTGAATGGTATCTATGGCAATGTTTCTTCGCAGTTTCCTCTGCCTTCACAGGAACCCACTCATCCCTACCAACCTGGAGATGTGGTATCCATCCGACAACTGAATAGGACAAAGAAGGGGTGTTTCCATTTGGTCCCCCAACCACTGTCATTGCTGTAACCCGTACTGCAGTCCTGACTGACTCCAAAGATTTGTGGATCCATGCACCACAAGTAAAGCTGTGTCCAAAGAAGGGAACAACTAGAAGCCTTGACATTCCTGAACCATCAAAACCCGAAACATCTGCCATTCTACTCTGTGATATTACATGGCTACGATGAAGGATTAAGGGAAAATTGTAACCAGAGCTTTCTTTTTTTTTCTGTCCCTAACGGTATATCTGGATTGCAATTATGAATATGAACAGTTGGGGAATTTACAACCCATTTGTTTTTGGAAACATAACAAAGTTATTGACAATTCTTCATTTCCCTCCGGAGCCCAATTAGGCCTTATTTTTCCATCTAGAATCAGACACACTCATTCCACCGGATCTGACTGTTCCATTACGACTCATACATATGTATTGGAATCCAACGATCACAAGGAGCGACAGAAACAGTGGATTATGACTATAAAAGGCTATCTATGTATATATTATGACAATCAATTTAAGCATCAACTTATGGTAATGAGGGATGGTAAATGTAGCTTTATTATTAAGGGAAGCATAAATGATCTTAAACCTAGGTCACAAAAGTGGGAACATAATTAACCTTTGAATAATAAGCAAAAGGGGCAGGTAAAAAATTATGATGTTTCTAGTTACACTCATTCAGTTAATACATTAAGTGACAAGGAGGTAGAAATAAACTGGGAAATATGATCAATATATATATTCTTTTAGGATGCCATGGATGTTTTATTGTAATTCTACTAGGGAAGTACCAACGAATCCTCCATGGCTATCCCTAATTATGACATACCTTTCAATGCTTCTAATTCCATACTTCCTCGACACAATACCACAACGGTTCAAAGAAAGCCGATACCCCAAGTTAATTTTAGAGAAAATCGATCCCTTCACCAATCTCCTTAAACGGCAGCATATACTTGTAATCAAACAAATATAGAAATAAAATGAAAGGGTATACCAGTTAATATTACCATTGGAAATTATATTTGCCCCCAAATGCAAACATGTTCAATTCACAATATAACCATAGCAAACCAACAACAACTGTGTGGACTCCTACATATGATGAAATAATGATAAAGGGAAATGGTACACAGAACTGTACGATGCATTTCGATAGTGTTATACCATTAAACATATCACAAATAGTTATGTGGCCGGGTGCCTTTCCTATGACATTTGACATAGCTATGTGTGTATTGGATTCTATCCTTAATAAAACAGGGAAAGACAAATCATCATTATGTGAACCCTACCAGAAGGTAGATAACATCTTGTCTCCACTCAGCCAGGATTGACGGAGATAGCATGGCAACCAGGAGGTTTGATATATATGTGGGGACAAGAATACCGAGGTGGAAACAACAACAGGTCAAATTATGGGGCAACTGGTTGGGAGCCTTTTTATGCAGTCCCATATCAGAACCTAACATTAAAATTCAGTCTCATATCCCTATTCCATCTACCGGTGTTAATACCACCGTTATCTCAAAAGCTGTACACATTTATCTGAATATCAATACACCTATAGTGTCTATCTGTACTCATAAAAAGGTAGACATGAAAGAGCATGGATGTCTTGCCTCCCTACTGGGAGGAACTGGCACCACTACAGGAGTTTTAAATGAAATTGATATGGAAGTATTAAAAAATAAGTTAAGCTCTGCTGGAAAACACATTGGTACAGGATTTCATGCTACTACAGCATGGGCAACCACAGTTGTGGAATCCCAAATTGCTCATCTCCAGTTAGAAAAATCAATGTATACTTATTTAGGAGATTTGACCCTGGCAGCAATTAATTTTACTACTGGAAGTAATAACTGGAGTGTTTGTGCTATAAGATATTTATGGATGCAACAACAGCGGTTAGAATTAGAAAATATTCTTAACTACTACGTTCAGGGCCTTATACCCAGCTCGAGGACGGAATGCGTGGCGTTTGAATGAATCCCTCATAGACGATACTGACACGGTCACCAAAATACGTAGGAACATACAAATGTTTTATGAGAACCACCAAACAGATCCCTCCCGTATAGACACCAAATGGCTGGCCCTCAAAGCTGTACTCAGAGGCCTCTTAATACAAGCAGGGTCAGTACGCAAACGAAAAGCTCACAACGAAAATGACACACTACTTGCA